CCATCCGCTAGAGGTGATTCGTGGCAACATATATGCTTGCGACTTGGCAGACCAGGTTGCATGCATTGGGATGTTAAAATAAGTGACCAGCACTTTAGGGATTTGTGGGAGCTTCAAAAGGGGAGCAGTAACACACCTTGGGGATCAGGTGTTCGTATAGCTAATACATCTGACATAGATTCACACATACACTATGATCCAGATGGTGTTGTTTTGAGTTATCAATCTGTGGAGGTAGATAGTATAAAGAAATTAGTGGCTGATATCCAAAGGCTTGCCAATGCAAGAACATTTGCACTTGGCATGAGGAAACTGCTTGGTGTAAGAGCAGATGAGAAAGGAGAAGAAGGTGTTACAAGTTCTGATTCCAAGGCATCTGGCGCTAAAGTTGCTTCTGATACTGCAGATAAGCTATTGGAACAGATGAAAAGGACGTTTAGAATTGAGGCAGTGGGACTAATGAGCTTATGGTTTAGCTTTGGTTCAGGTGTTCTTGCACGTTTTGTTGTTGAGTGGGAATCCGGTAAAGAGGGTTGCACAATGCATGTATCCCCTGATCAACTTTGGCCTCATACCAAGGTTTGTTGATTTCTCTTGAAGTGATTGTTGTTTGTTTTTTTCCTATATGTACTATGTTTTAGTGCTGTGATGGAATGTGATGTTGATGAGAAATAATTGAAATCTGCTATAAATCAGGGAACTAATGCATTTGATTAAGCAGAAGCATTTGTTGTCCTTGACTGAAGTGGGTTCATTTTATACCAATTAAGTTGCTGCAAGAATTTTCTTTTGTTCTAGCATTTCTTTGTGCATTGAAAGCTAGAAAGTGCTTTGGATTGAGTGTATTGTTAGTTTCTGCCTGTTAAAAATTGTTGATGGTCAAAGGGTCAGACTTTTTCAGAACTTAAGTGCTGCAATATGATATTATGATCATTGTTTACCAATGCTGAACGGTAATGTTTTATGGCGATACCCTTGTCTGATATTTTTGTCAAGGTGTTTTTGGCCCATATACATCAAGAATGCTTGCTTCTTCTTGCCTTCCCCTTACTCTCAGAAACAATTTCTGGGAGTATATATTCAAGATATCTGATGTTATTGTCATGCACAGTTTCTGGAAGATTTCATAAACGGAGCTGAAGTTTCATCACTTTTAGACTGCATTCGGCTGACTGCGGGGCCCTTACATGCCTTGACAGCTGCAACCAGGCCGGCACGAGCTGGTCCTGTTCCAGGGGTTCCTGGGATTGCGGCAGCCCTATCTTCCATTCCTAAACAGACTGGTTATTTACCACCGCAGGGAATTCTGCTTGGTAGTTCAACTACAAATGTTGGCCAGTCCACTTCTGCTGCTGGAGGAAACACTATCGCACCTACTGCTAGTGGATCTCTCAATAGTCAAAGCCTTGCTATGCTAGCTGCTGCAGGGCGTGGTGGTCCAGGCATTGCTCCGAGTTCACTGTTGCCCATTGATGTCTCTGTTGTGTTACGTGGTCCTTACTGGATACGAATTATATATCGGAAACAGTTTGCGGTTGATATGCGTTGCTTTGCTGGAGATCAGGTCTGGCTACAGCCTGCAACACCACCAAAAGAGGGACGGCCTTCTGGTGGATCATTGCCATGTCCTCAGTTTCGGCCTTTCATCATGGAACATGTTGCCCAAGAGTTGAATGGTTTAGATCCTAGTTTTGCTGGACCGCATGCAGGTGGGTTGGCAAGCTCTAATAATCCAAACTCAAGTTCTGGGTCCCAATTATCTGCCGCTGGAAATGGAAGTAGAATTAACCTTCCTACTGCTGCGATGTCTAGAGCAGGAAATCAAGCGGCTGGTTTAAATCGTGTGGGAAATGCTTTGGCAGGATCTTCAAACTTAGCTATGATGACATCGGCAGTCTCTTTACGTAGGTCACCAGGAGCGGCTGTCCCTTCACACGTGAGAGGTGAGCTAAACACAGCCATAATTGGCCTTGGTGATGATGGAGGATATGGTGGTGGTTGGGTTCCTCTTGTTGCTCTTAAGAAGGTTCTGAGAGGTATTCTCAAGTATCTCGGGGTGCTGTGGCTTTTTGCTCAGTTACCAGATCTGCTGAAAGAGATTTTAGGATCCATTTTGAAGGAAAACGAAGGTGCACTTTTGAACTTGGATCCAGAGCAGCCTGCATTGCGCTTTTTTGTTGGGTAAGTCCACAACTCTTATTTTGACTGCACTTCGTTCTTGCTTAGTGCAAAGACTCTTGTCACCTGTATCCCTTTCGTGCTTGAACAAGAAGAAAAGGGAAAGGGGGGGATGAAACATAAAGATTAGTGTCTTTTTGTATTCTTATTCTTTATCCATCTGATAGTTCTTTCTAGTAATAATTCATAATGCCTTTTTTTTTTGGGGGGGGGGGGTAAGATGCATCCAACATCTAAAAGTATTTTTTTAAATGCATTAACATCTTAAAGTATTTTGTAATGCATGCGGCATTCTGAAGTATTTTCTAGGTGCATCCAGCATTCTGAAGTTTTTTCTTTTTTTTTTGAGCCTTGGTGCTAGATGCGTCAAAAAATATTTCATGGTGCTCAATGCATCTTAAAAAGTACTTTATGGCACTGGATACACTACCAATTGCTTTAAGGTACTGGATGCACCTAAGAAAATGTTTCAGAGTGCTAGATGCATCTTAACCTTTTTTTTTTAATTTATTTTTATTTAAGCTCATTTCTGTGAGCGTGTATTTATATGCCATGACTTATTAGCCGCTAACAATTCACACCTCTATCCATCTTGCCTCTGTAACTTGGATATAAAACAAACCCTTTATTGTGTTTGCTGTGGCAGGGGCTATGTCTTTGCTGTTAGCGTCCATCGTGTTCAGCTTCTCCTTCAGGTCTTGAGTGTGAAGCGCTTCCATCATCAGCAGCAGCAGCAGCAGCAAAACTCAAACACTGCACAAGAGGAATTGAGTCAATCTGAAATAAGCGAGATATGTGACTACTTCAGCCGTCGGGTTGCATCAGAGCCTTATGATGCCTCTCGTGTTGCTTCATTCATAACTCTTCTCACTTTACCTGTATCAGTTCTCAGAGAATTTTTGAAATTAATAGCTTGGAAAAAGGGATTAACCCAAGCACAAGTTGGAGATGCAACCCCAGCTCAAAAGCCACGGATTGAATTATGTCTTGAAAACCATGCTGGGTTGAATGTGGAGAACTCTGAAAACTCATCCGCATTCAGAAGCAACATCCATTATAATCGACCTCAAAATTCTGTTGATTTTGCCCTAACTGTTGTGCTTGATCCTGCTCACATCCCTCGCATCAATGCTGCTGGTGGTGCTGCTTGGTTGCCGTACTGTGTTTCCGTGAGGTTGAGATATTCATTTGGTGAGAGTTCTAATGTCACTTTTCTTGGCATGGATGGAAGCCATGGAGGTAGGGCTTGCTGGTTGCATGGTGATGATTGGGAGAAATGCAAGCAAAGAGTGATACGAACAGTGGAGCTGCATGGGGGCTCAACAGCAGATGTAAGTCAAGGTAGGTTGAAACTAGTTGCAGATGGTGTGCAAAGAACTTTGCATCTATGCCTTCAGGGGTTAAGAGATGGTGGCACTACCGTGAGCTCTGGAGCAACGTGATTGTTTTGGTGTGAGTGACGATGGTATATAGTTTTTATATGTTGGGGGAGTCCGCACCGTTGCATTTTTGCTCACCATCATCCGTACGAGTCCCATGCTAAGCATGTCGTTGTCCTGGCAAAGCTTATCCTCCGCATGGAGGCTGTTCCGATGAACACTTGCAAATTATGGAGGAATTGAGATGGTGGTAAGAAATGATTTTGTTGAGGCAGGTAGCGTGGATGAGAAGTTTGCATAGACTCAAGCTTGAGATTTTGTTTCGTCCATCTTAGAGTTCTAACCAAGACTAATAAATGAGTATGGGCATTTGTCAGACCCAGAATTCAGAATTAGGTGGTTCAATGTCTCGTCAATAGTGTTTTATATCTTGTCATGACTTTTTGGGTGATGGCTTTGGTACTTGTACAGATAACAGTGTTAAGATTTGTAAAGGAAATTTGTTGTGCACGAATTCTATACCCCATATTTAACACGTGCGAGATGGTGAGAAGAGCTGTTAAAAATAGGACTTTATTAGTTTCGAATTCTTGACTCCCTCGCTTTCCAAGATTCCAAGGCCCTCAAAAAGCCAAGGTTGCTATTTTCATGTTTTCAGGTTTCTAAACCCAACTAAGAAGAGTCGAACTCCATTGCAGATGCCGCAGGTTGGGTTTGTCACAGTCGCTACTCTGAATGCGCCGTGAGGGATGATGATGAAAAGTACAGCCTGGCTGGGTTGCTGTGACCTTCGAAATGCAAGATGGAAGATGGAGGACGAGGAAGAAAGTCGAAGAAACATGTGGGCTTGCTGGAATTTGAGAAATGGAGGATATTTTGGTTAACAACGTCAATTTCTGGGGAAAATATGGATGTCCCCGAGTCTGATTGATGAAAATTGGTTTGCCAAGAAAATAGATGGATGCCAATCACACAGGGAGAAAGTCAATTTCCACTTCCATTTTCTTGGGAAAAATTGAAATTCCGGCAAACCAAACGTGACCTTAGTTTCGTTATCCCCCCCCCCCCCCCCGTTATAAGGCTATAGTTTCTCTTCATGCGTTGAGATGTATTAGTCGATGTCGACCGGAGAGTTCAGTGGCTCTCCTTCATACGTTATTACGTTAGCTTTCCCAGCTTTGACTTTTGGTACCATGGGCCTCACGCTATTCCTCTAGCTGCACATTTCTTTTAGCATTTATAATTCATCGTTTTCTTTCAAAACTAAATAGGGGGAAAAAAACATTTCAATCTGAGACATAAAACAAAGGTAAAGCTTTCTCTTCAGCCCAAAGGGTAATAATTATCATGATAACAACAATGAACCAAGCTTGAGTTTTGTTAAATTTAATTTAATCAAATAAAGTTAACCCATGTATGACTAAGCGGTGGGTGGTGTCAAAATTAAAAAAATAGCTAATCCGACTTTTTCCTATTTAGATCTTACCGTGCGAAGATTGAACGTCACCATACCACATATGAACAGGACAGAGATATTTTATACTACTCCCTGCAGCCTTAGTGACTGCAATAATTCGACCTCAAATCCCGAAGATATGAACAACCAATATATCACTATTCCTTCTTTGACTCCAAATTTAACTACATCAGTCTTGCGTCCAGCCCTAAATCAGATCATCTATCAGCTGTATATATGGTCTGGATCCCACAGGACTACGTCCAGAACAACAGACTGATATGGTCAAAGATGAACGGCTCTGCCTCCAAATTATAAGGTGTTTCGGAATAATTTCTCAAACAATAATTGGCTAATGATCTCCGCTGGAAGAATGTCCAGATGAATCCGCACCACCACAAATTCTCTTCTGCAGATGTTCTAAGCTGGCCACCCTCTGAAGTGAAGTTGTTTGTCCCATCTTGTTCCCAGTTACCACAGCTGCTCCGCTCTGCTGAACATTTTCATTTGAACAAACATCCCCTAATCCATTGTTTGCCCTCAGATCATGACCGGACAAAGGATTATCTGTAGGTTGATAAAAGTGATGGATCGGATCATCTTGCATGGGAACAGCAGCATCTGCTGACGTGTCTGGAGGGCTTCCATCAAATGAAGAGATTCCCATTGATGATATCTCGGACATGGCATGAAACATTGGGTTCAATCCAGTAATTCTTTTGACAGTCTCTTCAGCCATCTTCACCTGATAAAAGGAGGGCATGGAAGGAAATGAAAAATGTCCATGTGAAATAGACATGAACCAATTTCCCTCTCTATTTAGCCATGTTTCTGTCGACTATGAAGGAAATCATCCTAATTAACTCCAATTTCAGCTTGCCAGGCCAACCATAACATGGGTACTAAATTAACAAGAACTAGTAGCCTTTACTATATAACTGGAATTAATCATAAACAGCAAGCAAGGATTTTACCTTTGCTCTTAATGTTTCAATGTCAGCTTTTAACACTCTGTTGTCAACACCAGACTCATTGAACTTATGGCTTACATCAGTGAGACGCTTTAACAAGGATGAATTTTCAACTCTTAATTGAGAAACCTACAGATGAAGTATTAGTTTAGTAAGTATACTAAACCTTTGGGAGAACTAACAGGAAGAGGGGTTGCAGAGAAGGTCAACTCGAAAGGAGAATATATGCACCTGTGTCTCAAGCTCAGTTAAATGAGCCTGCTTTCTCCTTCTTGAACGTCTAGCAGATTCCCTATTAGAAAGCATCCTGAAAGATACATGTCACTAGGCAATTGATTAAACAAAGCAGAAGTTGTCTGAGTTGGACCTGACTTACAATTAACAGAGACAGAAAACAATCTGTTTTTAAAGATATTTCCAGATCCTTGAGGCTTAACTTTTGTCCAATTACGGGATAATTTCCTAGGGGCCTAACCATTTTAAGAATGATGATACTTGCATAACTTTTTCTTCACAAACTGCTGATGTCCCTATGAACGTTATACCGCAAAAAAAAAAAAAAAAAAAGTCAGGCCATTTAACTCGTGAGTGTACATACACACAACAAGCACTGACATTTCCTACACTTTAACTCTCAGTAAATTCCAAAACCATTACCTCCTTACTCGTTTTACATCAGCAGGGTCCATATTTTCAGTCATCTCCATTTCTCCGTCAATGTCATCGTCATCTGACAGGTCCCTTGATGATCCGCTTGTTGTTGGCTTGTTTGCAACAGCTGGCTTCTTTTGAATCACGGGTAAGGAAGGAATTCCAACTGGTGCTTTGGTATCTTTATCCAGTAATTTAGATGGATCACTTCCAGACGAACCAGATATGCCAGATCCTAAAATATAAAGATAGGCAGCAAAGACATGATTCAAACAGTATTGCCCACATTTGGACTTTGGAGAGACAATATTCAACCTCTTAATGCTGACCCCGCAAAAACCAGGAAGATCAATAAATAAATTTAAAAAAAAAAAAAAGAAAGGAGGACGAACATAAAATTATAGCTGAGCAGTGCGTTTACACTACCCATGTACCATTCATATAACCATCTCTTTTAAATTCTGCATTTCCCGACTCTTCTCTACTCAGCCAAGTATAAACACGATGTTATTTTTATGAATATAATTTAATTTATAAATCTTCAATGATTCATTCATATGTTTATAAACTTCCGTAAACACATCCACATACATTTACCAAATCAAACCTTTAAAAGTAGCCCGAGCTCCAACTTGACAAGAATCAGAAGCCTGTGATCCGCTGTCAACAAAAGTAGCTGAATCTTGAGCTTTGATTAAAGATCCCTGTTGCTGTGAGTAGAAGAAAACATTAGATTCTGACCCTATCATCAAAGGAAGAGAGCAAGACAGGGGGAGAGTAGAGGAAGTAATGAAATTTTAAGTAAAATTTATAAATTAGACACAATAAAGATACTTTTTTTTTTTTACTGCTAGACAGATGCAAACTTGGAGATGAGACAACCACAGAAAGACACACAGTAGCAAACGTAAAATGTAGAGGAAAAACACACGAAATCACCATCAATTTCTATGACTGGAATGCAGAAGTCTAAAATCAAAATAAACAAAGTAGTCAAAAAGTGATTCTCAAACAAAAGTACTAGCACCAAAAGAAAACCAAACATCTTGCATGGGTTGCAATATAGATGAAAGGAACACAGGAATTTCCTTTACTCGTGCAAAAAGAATTATGCGCTTCATATCCAGAGCATGTGGAAGGGGGGAAAGTTAACAAAAAGATGATGTAAAGTTGACAAATATCTATTGCCTAGTAAAGGAATTGCAGTCACCTTTCGCTTCGAGGTACACCAACTGGAAAGCAAAAGTATACTTTTATTGATTTAGGGAAAAATCATGACAATCATAAATGTGTTCGAAGTTAAAGTTGTGTAGCCGTACGCAACTCCACTAATTTCCCTAGTTCAGGAATGTTAATCCTAAAATCAAACTGAAGATACCAAAAACCTATGATTGGACTGAAAGATTGGCATTCCCATTCTCCAGTATTTCGTTATTTAGAACCGATACAGCAAAATTACTAATTGCAGCCACACAAAAATAAACAGCAGCGAGACGGTCAGCCGTTTCAAGTTAAAATCGCCCAAATAGGTTAAAGTAAGAAATATTTCCATCCGATTTTTGGATATAGCATCTATCCTAACACAACAACACAAAGACGACGATAGATAAAGGGGGAAAGTCATCAAACAAATCAGATCCAATAAAATCGCCTTATTTTCAACCGCCGCAGATTATCCAATTGGTTTCTCGAATGCTTCCTGCGATCTACCTAAGATTACAAAAGAGGGAAGGGGAATAATTACCCGAGACAATGCGACCGCGGCACAGGCGAGATTGAGTTTGTTCTTGAGGTAAGCCTGGTAGTCATCGGAATTAACGGGAATGTTGGGAATAGACGGAGGGGTAGAAGGCACATTGGCCTGGACGGGACCATCGTTCTGGAGCCGCGAGACCCCCGTATTCAGAGCGGGATCCTGTTTGGGTTGATCCTTGATGTGAAGCGGACGGTCGTCGTTAGGGTGAGGAGGGAGGGAGGAAGAAGCCGTAGAGGTCGGGGAGGACACGGAAGCTTCCTGAAGGAAGCGCTGGAAGGCCCACTCGGAGGCGCTGCGGTTCATCTGGGAGGGTTCATGGGTTCCGGTGGACGTCGGCGGTGACCAGAACTGGTCGGAGATTTCATCCACTGAAAACACCCTATCCATATTATTCCCCACCTTTGCTTCTCTTTCTATTGCGCGCCGGCCGTGATGCTACTATTTGCAATAGTGAGGAGTGAGAGCTCATCATTCATTGTATTATACGGGCACATCGGTCAAGCGAAGACTTAAATGGGACACAAGATGTTGTATAAACACGCTTTACTTACCTATTATAACTTTTAAATAATTAATTTATAAATAATTAAAAAAATTAGTTACAATTAATTTAAAATAAAATTTTGTTTTCAGATATGCAGTCATAATAAATGAAAAAGAAGGTATGAAGAAATATAGTAAGAGAGAAATAATTAAGGACACCATTAAAAAAATATTAAATATTAAGACAAATCCAAATTAAAATTTATAAAATAAACTACATCTTTTTTTAAATTTAAAGTTCATAAAAAGGACCGAAAGTAGTAACATTTTTTAATTTTATCTCTAAAAAATACAATAAAAAAATTAAGTGTGAAAAAAATGAATCACATGTTTTTTCAATACTTTTTTCTAATAGGGACAAGTATACAAATTTTTATTAATTTAATATATTTATTGATATGGAATACAAATGGAACAGAGTGGTATTTAGGCTTTAAAAGAAATTTAAAAGTGTATTTAAAAGAATTTTAAAACTAATAATACAAAACTAATGAAGCACACAAAAATAATAAATAAATTATAACTTGGTATGGCTGGCATAATTTAATTATTTATCATTTCTCTTACATTGGAAATATTTGATTAAAAAAATCTATAAAAAAATGACTATTGAATTTTAAAATTTTAAATTAGGAATTACTATAAAAATATGTTGTCATTTGTTTTTTGAATATAATCATTTTCTTTACGAATATAATAACTACTACTGATTTGAAATTTTAAAATTCAATAATCACTTTTTCAGGATTTTCTCAAAAAAAAAAAAAAAGGTTTTCCCGGTAGACAAGTTTTCATTGTCAAATCCATGGAATGTAGTTGCAGCATGCATACCCCTCCAAATAACTGAGAAATATAAGCTTTTATATACTACCTCCTAATTATAAACTAGCTGACTAATTTTAAAAGATTAAGTAAATAAGTTAAGTTAGTTGTTTGTAATAAATAGGTGTTGTATTTTCTAAAATATTCTTGTTAATCAAATGTCTTGACTAGAATTACCATTATCAGAAGAATTATTTTAAAAAAATACATAAATATTAAAAATAAGATAGATTGGGGTCCTATATTTAAGGCCAAAATAAAAGTCAAACGAGGTCTTATATTAAAAACTGGAGATAATATTTATTTTGGGAGTGGTTTTAGGCTTTTAAATTTTCTCCTTCTTGTCATTTTGCATTCTGTCTTTTGATCCCGAATGTTAAATTCATTTTATAATATAATTTATATTATAAAATGAATCTTATATTTAAAAGCAAATGAATATTAATTTTTAAATATCACTTTGCAATACATTTTTTGTTTTGCTTTTTTCTTATTTATATTTGTATCAAAATTAGTTTTTTAAGTAATAGTGTTAATTTTCATTTCATTCTATTTTTGTTTTCACTCTCATCGTAGTAAGATTATTTTCTTCAAACAAAACAATGCCTTGATCTTCTCACACCTGCTATCTTGACTAAACTCAGCAACCCCATTAGTCTGATTGATGATTTGACGCATAATAATATGGAAGCTGATATCATCAGTATTAGGTAACTTGTGATATAATCACAATTTTGAATTTACAAGTGATCGTGGCATGTATAGATTTGTTTAGGTTTGATTGATAATGTATATTTGGTAAAAATCCAAATCATAATTTTTAAAATAATTTTACAATATATAAAGTAAATATATAAAAAATTATCTCGATTTAAATAAAAATATTTTTTAAAGTACTTTTGATAAACTAAGTAGGCTTATGATGCACAAATACCACTAAGAAAATCACAATCTTAGCAGCCATGACAGGCCTATTGATGGATTGATCTTCAAGTCGAACCTCTGACAATTTGGTTACATGCACAGTGCACAAACCAAGTTGACTACGCAAGTGATTCAGAGCATGGAAAGACACAGCAAAAAGTCTCTTTGCAATTTGCAGCTGGGGAGGATCTTCGCCGCTGCTTCCTCCAGCCAACACCTACAATTATTGAGTTTAAACTGAATTAGGTTGATTTCTTCCTGGACTATGTTTAATATGCCTACCTTAATTCACGTCACTCCTGAATGTTCTGATGCGTGCTGTAAACAGAAAGGAAAAACAAATCACTTGTAACTGAGAATTAGTTTAGAAGCAAAGGAATGTTTAGCTGGGTGGGTGGCCGAAAAGAGAGTATGCGATTTGGAGGGAAGACGCATCTGGGGAGGCCGATGAGGAATGACAATGGGGACAGGGATGAGAGGGAAGAATGGTCGAGCGTTGTGGCCTCTGATCAAATGAAGCAGCCAAGCCAGAGTCTTCCCTGGGCGGCCACGAATGCAATTATTGCGGCTGGCTTGCTCGTCCTTGCTTTTATCTTATATTAATAAATTACAAAGAGGCTGCGTAAAACATCAATCAATTAGTATTTCTGGTATGTAATATAAAAATTAGTTTAAGAATTATATTTAATGTTAAATACAAAATCTCAATTCACCTTGTTATATATTATTAAGAGGGTATTAATTCCAGGATAGTCATGATTAATAGGATATTTCAAGAAATCAAATTTAAAAAATACTTTAAAAAATCAATTTATATTTATTACAAATAACAAATTTAATAATTTTTTTTATCAATGAAATTAATTAAGTAGATGAGAATAAAAACTGGTATATGTTTGGCACCGCAAACTTAGCAGAATATTAACTTGTCCTGGTTTCTTCCTTGCTTCCTGAGTTGGGCCCACTAAAGTGGATCAATAATTCTGCTGGCCGCTCTTAATTTTGGGGCTTTGGACTTGTTCCACGCTCAATGAAATGTAATGAACCCCATGCCTCAGCAGTCAGGCGTAGTCAGCTGGCTGCGGAAACACCCCATAATCATACAAACTCTTTGGGAATTGGAATTGAGCGCTGCCTACAAATCTAAGCAATTTCCTGGTAATTTCCCTTCAGCCTCCTCTGCAATTAGTTTGTATGATCTGTTTAATGTTTATTTATCATTATTATTTCTCAAGCCATATTGCAACGTGTTCCTTTTCAAGGAAAAGCGAAATCCGTCATCACGTCGCCCTTCACATGCCCTTCCTCTCCCCCTCTGCCCCACTCCGAACTAATTATTATGCAGTAAGGGAAAAGTAATGGGTGGCTTTCCTCACTTGGTCTGCGTTTCCACTCTATATATGGCAGGGCCACTCATAGTTTTAAAATCTTCTTCTTCTTCATCCCACTTCTCATCCGACTCCCCGATTCTGCTCTTTACAGGTGCGCGCCATAATTCATTTTGTGCTTCACCTCTCAATTTGTTTCTTTCCCCTCACTTATTGTTGTGATTTTGAGCCATCTTTTGCGGTTCCTGTCATGCCACCATTCTCCTAATTTAGGGCTTAACTGTTCCTCGGTTTCTCTTCCCTATTCATAGTGCCTCTTGTGTGTCTAGATACAGATCTTCTTCATTCTGTTGCATACCATTCGTGCCGCGGGGGCGCGCCACTCGCAATTGTATTCTTCATTATGCCCCCGCAGTCTAGGAAGACGAAACAAAGGGTCTTCAATTTTTGATCTTTTCCTTTCCGCCGCGGAAACTGATTTCGGGTGCATGCTTTTCGTTTTTACGAAAACTTCGCCACCTAAAATTAGTTGACCGTTTAAATGTGCCAGCCTTGTATAGTTGCATTCCGTTATTATCTTTCATGTAGGCATGTGATGTATGTTTCTCCTGCAATTCTGTATTTAAAGTTCTTGTGTCTTTTGGACTTTTGCCGACTTGCCTTAGGAGGTTCTTTCCCTTCCCCTCCCCTTTTTAATTAAGAAGTTCAATTATTTATGAAATGTGGATTTCATCTTCCCTTGTGTCTGCTTCTCAATATTATCATTTGAGCCCATGATTTTAAGCTAATTGTCAACAAGTTCTGCTCATCTGACCTATTCAAGCGCTGCAGAATGGGAGGTGCCGGAAGAACTGAGTATGGTGAATACACCTATGACAACCTTGAGAGAGAACCTTACTGGCCATCAGAAAAGCTTCGAATTTCCATCACCGGAGCTGGTGGTTTTATTGCCTCCCACATAGCAAGGCGCTTGAAGACCGAGGGGCATTATATTATTGCTTCTGACTGGAAGAAAAATGAGCACATGACTGAAGAAATGTTCTGCCACGAATTCCATCTAGTTGATCTGAGGGTTATGGATAACTGTCTCAAGGTGACTGAGGGAGTTGACCACGTTTTCAACCTTGCTGCTGATATGGGTGGGATGGGCTTTATCCAGTCCAACCACTCTGTCATTATGTACAACAACACAATGATTAGTTTCAACATGCTTGAGGCAGCCAGGATTAACAAAGTTAAGAGGTTAGTGGTCCCATGTACAGGCACTTGAATATATCTATTTGGACAATTACTGAATAACAAATATGTCATGGTGTTAACTTTGATATATGGGGTGTACATGAAACACTTTTCTGCCCCAGGTTTTTTTATGCCTCGAGTGCTTGTATCTACCCTGAGTTTAAACAGCTGGAAACTAATGTGAGCTTGAAGGAGTCTGATGCTTGGCCAGCTGAGGTCCGTTGGTGATATTTCAATTTTTGATTGGGATGGTTCTTCTGTTGCATATGAAGGTTGTTCATTATGTGTTTAATTATTTTATTGGGTTTAGCCGCAAGATGCATATGGGCTAGAGAAGCTTGCAACAGAGGAATTATGCAAGCACTATAACAAGGATTTTGGAATTGAGTGTCGTGTTGGCCGGTTCCACAACATTTATGGTCCCTTTGGGACATGGAAGGGTGTGCCCCGAACCAAATTGCATTTTTTTTTTTTGCTTTGGTCTCATTCATGAATATGTCGTTGGACTTGTTTGATTTTGTAACCCTTCAATTTTTAAATTTGTTTCTTTGTTGCTATGCATACAGGTGGGAGGGAGAAGGCTCCTGCTGCCTTTTGTCGTAAGGCAATCACTTCCACTGATAAATTTGAGATGTGGGGGGATGGATGTCAAACACGATCTTTCACCTTCATAGATGAGTGTGTCGAAGGTGTACTTAGGTAAATCCCTGCTGATTAATCCTTATCTGCATATCCATCTTCACGGGGGTGTGTGTGTGATTATATCAATTTTTCAAAAGAAAGATGATTAGCGGGTTTCAAAATTGGGGCATTTTAAAATAAACTTGACGTGATTAGATCAGTCAACAGCTATTGAACTGAAGGGACACAGGAGGATATTCTACCTTTTGAAAAGTGAGGTGTTTGAATTGATCAATTAAGGACAAGATAACTAGTACTTTTCTAGTTCTTAATGTATGACCTAATTTAAGAGTTGATGTTAATCCTACATGTAAGACTTATTTTACATATTTATTAATTTTTTCCAAATTAACCCTATTAATATTTTCTTAACAATAAGCAAGTAGGGGAGAGAGGAGAATTAAGGAAGATAATTAGGGTGTTTTAGAAGAAATATATCATATTAACTAATTTAAGTAATATTCTTAATCTGCTCAAATTAATTACTACATTTGGTCCTAAATATAAGACCTCGTTTATAAACTACAAATGGGGTTTTATATTTAGGACCATAGGTAGTTATTATGTTTTATATTAAAGATCAGAGGAATGTATAGTTTTTAGCAAGCATGTGTCAATACATTTCATATGTATTTTTTGGCTCAGCTCTTTTTCTTTGGGCTACTTTGGAATTTAGATTAACAAAATCAGACTTTCGGGAGCCGGTGAACATTGGAAGTGATGAGATGGTCAGCATGAATGAGATGGCTGAGATTGTTCTTGGCTTTGAGAACAAGAATATTCCTATACATCACATTCCTGGGCCAGAGGGTGTTCGTGGCCGTAACTCCGACAACACGCTGATTAAAGAGAAACTTGGATGGGCTCCGACTATGAAGTTAAAGGTGACCTTCCAATTAAATTATTTCAAATGTCACCTCCTTTCGGTTTTTTCTGTCAATTTTGATCCTCAAATTGAGTTCTGCACACTCACAGTATCTCAAATCTGATCGCAGGATGGGCTCAGAATTACATACTTCTGGATTAAGGAACAGATTGAGAAAGAGAAGGCTCAAGGCACTGATACGTCAGTTTATGGGTCATCCAAAGTGGTGCAGACCCAAGCCCCTGTTCAACTAGGCGCTCTCCGGGCAGCAGACGGCAAAGAATAAATTACTCTCCCGAATGTTTAATGTAGGAGCAGACTCCTATATTGATATATCATAGAGGTCCGTGATTTAGGCTTATTAGCAATGTGATTTGCTGTCTGTGTGTGTGATGTGTAGACGGGGAGCTTTAATGTTTTTGTTGTGTTTTATGATTGGTTAAGCCACTAGTTGCTGCTCAAGGGGTTTCTACTGAGATGTAAGTTATTTTACTGGTTAAATAAGAATGCCCTGATTGTATTAGCGTTTGAGGGCCTGTTTGCCATCATGTTTAATAAGTATATTTTACGTAAGTCAAGACAAAACTTTTTTTACATATTTATCTCATTCTGTAAATTATAATTAAAAAACTGCTTACAAGTCATTTTAAATGGGTCCTAAAATTATCTAGGAGTATGTTTTATGTAAATTGAGGTAAAACTTCTGTTACATATTTACTTCATATTTTATAAATTATTATTAAAATATTATTTATAAACTATTTTAAATGGGTTTCTAAGATTGACTTCTACACCATGAAGAAATCTCTGGGGATGACCGGCAGTCTTTGTTGGAGGCTTACAGTAGAGCTGTCTGCTTGCCTGCTTTCTTCGCCCTTTTTGTTCCCGGAAAAAAATGAACCTGTGGACGCATTGGGAACAATATGGGAATATGATAGCATGGGTAGAGCTGGTAATACGGGCTGGGCCCGCGGGCCCAGCCCGCCAGCCCGCCAAAAATGGCGGGCTCGGGTTGGCAAAATGCCAACCCGCCAAGGTGCGGGCTATTCCAGCCCGCACCGTTTTCAGCCCGCTCCGCCGCGGGCTAGCCCGCTTTTTTTTTTTTTAAATTTTTTAGTTTTATATAATTTCTAATATATTATACAATATAATTGGAGGATTTTAACCCCCAAATTTCATATTTACATCTTCTCATCCATGTAATTGCATATGTAATACATACATAAAAGATCTACTTAATTAATTTGGATAAGAAAAATAGTCAAATTAATTATTTAGAAAAAAATATGTGTTAGTTTTTCTAAAATATCTTCTCAAATTATAAATTAATCCTCACATTATTTTATTATAACTCATTACTCAAGTTTAAAACTCCAAGTCCAATTTTAACATTACAAACTAAGCTCAAACTTATACAAATAATATTTTTTTAAAAAAAAAAGTTAGGCGGGCCGGCGGGCTAGCCCGCCGGCCCGCCTTGACGGGCTCGGGCTGGCAAAATGCCAGCCCGCCAAAGTGCGGGCTACTTCAGCCCGCACCGTTTTTGGCCCGCACCGCTGCGGGCTGGCCTGTATCCGCATCGCCAGCCCGCATTCCCAGCTCTAAGCATGGGTGGCGAGGATTTGCTTTGGGATCTAAGGGGACGGACGGCCGAGGGCCATTACCTTGTAGCCTGACGTAAGCATGGTGGGTCCCAGGGGCATCAGGGAATCTTATTGTTTCGGGTTCCTACTTCCTAGAATCATCTTCAGTGCGTGGTGTGGTCACCCCATGACGGAACGGACCTCCTTTGCTTCCCGGGTTTGCGATACCAATCCTTGGCCTTCCCAGCCTTTGTGCCCAAACTCTCTCTTCCTCTTCTTCATCTTCTTCCACCCTCCGGGGGGAATCTCGCCGATTGTTTTCCTCCGTTAGACCCTGTCATCCTAAAATTGTTATCAATCAATCAACTATTAACTAATTATAACATATCGGGCTGGTTGAGAATCATGCATTCCCCTTTTTTTGGGGGGGAGGAGGGTGGGAGATAGAGATGACGAAATAAAATCTTTTCATGGGGGGCATGGTCAGCAGAAATGAACAAGCTAAACTAGTAACCGCCTCGAATTCAAAAATGACGCCACCGACAAGAAGAAATATTTGGTAAAGCAGAACATGTTTATTTAAACAGCATCTCGGTGAAGAAATGCCGAATAGAACCCATGACTTCTCCCGCTACGGTGCTTCAATTCTGGAGTACAGATGTTCCTTTGAACCAGAATTCTTTATTAATTCATGTACGTTGGTTTTTGTCGGCAAAGAGACACTTTTATGTTAAGATTAAATCAGAGCTATGTTAATGTGGCCTTGTGAGGCTTGGAGAGGAGAAAAGGTCTTCCACGCATATGCTTGCTTGGTCTAGCAAGTTGAGGAGTCGTCACAATTTTCCAAACGCAATAGCGTGACATTTCTTCTATTTTGCACTCGATTTGAATATGATGAAGTTTGAATCTCAAGCAAGGTTACATTCTGATGATGACCCACAAATCAGAATCACAAAAGAGAAACGTTGATGTTTTGGGAGGCGTTGAGCTCGCAGGTATTTTCCCGATTCATGAAAGCCGCTCTCATTGGAAGGGAGAAATCAATTAGCATCGCTTCAATTACGGCGTCTGACAGCGCGTATTGATAATCAATCCCAAATGCTGGGCTACAGTACAATATACAAGCGGCTAGTCTGGTCAACAAGCAGCACGTGGCCTCGCCAATACACTGTATGTAATTATTAATAATAATCATCGAAATTCCTGTGTTCATACAGATGCTGAATTTGTCAAATAGATGAAGACTTCTGTTATTGTTGCGATTTATGTTTAAATGAAACAAGGTCCACCAAGGGAGGAGACTAAAACAATAAGTAAACGAAAAATTGAAGTTTCGCTCCGCACAAGGGGATGAGAGTGAGACGGACGGAAAAGACCGAGATGCTTGCATATGAATTGTATTATAATATAATATTATGGTAGCCGGTCAAATGGGCAACCTCTTAGCAGGCAATTTCCCACGCAGGAACAGGACGCACGCCCATATATATATAATTGGAATCTCCTTTCCTTTCTCATGGCATGAAGTGGACGCCCATGTTCTGTTTCCTTTCTCACTTGCCATTCATTCGTACTTTCATAGCATGAAGGACGCTCTGAGTGAAGAGCAGATTGCTGAGTTTCTGGAAGCCTTCCGTCTTTTTGACAAAGATGGGGATGGTATCTATCTATCTATCTAACTATCTGTACTTCTGCTCCCAACGCTTCCATTTCCACACACACACACAACTATATGCATATCACGTTCTTCAACCTCTGTTTTCTTGCTGTTCATGAAAAAGGCTGTATAACCATGGAAGAATTAGGCAGTGCCATCAGATCATTGGATCAACATCCTACCCAGGAAGAGTTGCAATTTATGATCAGCCAAGTGGATGCAGATGGCAACGGAACCATTGAGTTTGGAGAGTTCTTGAATCTCATGGCCACCAAAACCAAGGTATACATCACAAACACATATACATTATATCCCTGGCTATTATGGAACATCTCAGGATGTGTAAATATAATATGCACGTGGCTGCGTGTTTGAAACATGAAGGAAGCCGAAGCCGAAGCAGAAGAGGAATTCCAAGAAGCTTTCAAGGCGTTCGACAAAGATCAGGATGGTTACATATCCCCCTCCGAGGTACATATATATATATATATATATATAATATTAATTCACTCTGCTCTGGCCATCACTTGACCATTTGTTTTAATTTGGGGAAAACTTGTGCGTGCATTTACAGCTGAGGCATGTTATGATAACTGTGGGAGAGAGGGTGACGGAGGAGGAACTTGAGCAGATGATCAGAGTGGCTGATTTGGACGGCGATGGCCTGGTGGATTACCAAGAGTTTGTGAGGATGATGCTGGCTGTTTAATTATTTATATCAATCGGGGGGTGTTTGGATAGAAACCAAACCATAGTTTCAGAAGTGCTTTTACGGATTACGAAATAAATATGTGGATGAGATTATCTCGTTTTGCGAAAAAGTGCTTCTGAAACCATGGTTTTGGGTTTCCCAATCTTCATTACGCTGCCTCGGCTGTGATTAAAAGCATCATGTCGTTACATCTATCCTCCGCGTTGTGTGTATTTCGACAAAAAGTATAATTCGTACATCTTTTGTTTTATTTAATTCTTTCCCTTTAATAGGAACTCCAATTTCATTATCCCCCATCATTCCCTCTATGGAGCTCACTTAATTCTATTATACATCTCATCAATGAACTCTGTTAAAATTACTTGATATTTTCAATAATTACCAATATTTAACTCAATGTATCACCTACACTTACATTTCTCTTTACCCTTTTATCCACCACAACTCTTTCGATCATGTAATGAGGGGCAATATTTTTTTTCCAAAACAAAAAAAAACTGCACAGCCTTTGTGAGGAGATTTATATTTTGAACATTTAATTAATTTTCTTAAACGTGACTTGTATGTAGAGGTAAGAAATATTATATGGAGTTTGAAAAAATAAGGTGCTTCTAATCATAAGCAATAGTATGAATATCAACACCAAAGATGAAATACCGTACAAGACTCTGTTTTTGTTGTTCTTGAATTTTTGCCCGGCGAGACAACGTTAGGAACCAAGACTGTCCAGTACATTTGACCTCTTTTTTTTTTTTTTCCTTTTTTTTGGGTTTTGGGGCGGGGGGTGTTTGAAAGACGCGTCACTTTTAGGCACCTTGTCGCCAGGCAAGATCGTGCGTAATATTACATTTAGATACCTACAACGTAAAACTTAGGGAGTAAATAAAAATAATAACATAACTCATTATATTGCAGGTCTTATGTAAAGCATTGACTCGCGATCTAATTAAGAAAAGCAGTTACAAGTCATTATCGTCAGTTAACAACGTTATTTTATACGGAAGAATTAAACAAGGGAAATTAATCAAGGTTGGGTATTTTTGGCGTGAAAGTAGACATAAAGTTTAAATTTAAACACATGAGTTACGCACGGCACTCAAAGTAAAAATATGAAATAATTTTAAAATATTTTTTTTAACTGCATGCGTCCATGTATATCCTCCTGATGGAGGTCATTATTATCAAACTACTCCTCCGGTTCTAAATATAAGACCTTTATACAAGTGTGTATAAAGGTCTTATGTTTAGGACATGAGGAGCATATCATATTTTTACCAGTTTCATTATTTTAATGTGTTGATAAAATTTATAGGAACGAACACCGACCTGCAGCAATATGGGTTATTCTTCACACTCGGCATAATACATTAAATTAGTTGGTTCGCGCGGTCGATATTTAGTTATAAAAAAGTCAATATTTTATTTAATGTGAAATATAAAAAGCTAACAATTAACTGCTCTATATATTTTTGGAAGTTGTGACCTGGGAGCACGGGCACCATAGCTCATTCCAATTCTGCAAAATAACATCAAATTGGCTAAAATAAATAATTATATATCGAACCAATATCGATATGTTACGATAACACGGATCTAGCTTCTATAAAATTTATGAAATGTCAGGATATAAATTATAGACAATCGTACGCTCTCTGCATCATTCACATCATAGTCAATATTACGCTATTTAACTAAATTCAAATACTAATTGAAAATAAGCATGTTAAGTGTATAGAGTTAATTATCTGAGCTTTTTTCCTAAACTGGGATATAATAAAGACGGTACAAATTAAAGGTCATATTATCTGCCAAATACAAATAATATTATTTTGGCTAGATTTTGAGGCTTCTTATTTTAAAATTTTTCAATCGTTTTGTTGATTTCTGTATAATTTTTTTTATTCACATATTTTTGTATGCGTCCTTGCAGAATTTATGTTCGAATACTATAAGAATAACTGTTATTAATTAACACTGTCAATTATAAAAGTGAGATCCATGTGTACCTATTCCTCTACCTCTCTGATACTTAATGGGCGTGTTGTATATATTTCTATAATTTCTTTTTATCTCCTCTAAACTATTTCTTTTATCATACCCAATGCACTAATGTACTTGTTTCTAATATAAAAGCTAATTGAATAATTTGAGTAGATTAAAAAAATTAGTTAAGTTAATTATTTGTAATAAATAAATGTTGTATTTCCTAAAATACCCTTACTAATTATGTGTATTAGTTAGAACCATCATCTGATAGAACTTTTAACATGTTTACTACTACAATGACTATTTTTTTAAAAAAATAGATAAATAAATATGAAAGATAAAATGAATTGGGGTCTTATATTTAGAACTAAATTAAAAGTCAAACTAACTATTATATTAAGAATCGGAGGTAGTATTGGATTGGGTATGAAGTTATACTAATTTTAAAACAAGCCCCCCTTTTATAATTTAGTTGATGACAAATTTTATATAATCATGGGCGTGTCGTTTCTATATAGATTAAGTTAGTTACCGCTGTCTTCCAACACTAAAAAGAAAATCAATTAATACAGTTAGAAGGGGGCGATAGCTGCTAGAGATGCAAGTGGAGCATCCTTGGATCATGGGGCACATAATCAGCCTTGTAAATTGAAGCACTTTCCACCACTGCTAATCATCATCACATTCACTTCCCACACAACAACCTTAGCTGTTCTATTTCTTCGTACGTTTTTCTGGCAGTGGCACCTCCTAATGCTACTACCAATTACGAGGCACCATCCGGCGGTGATGTAGCAGTTAAACGCAGGGCCTGAGTGGGAAACTTCTACTGATTAAAGTTTCCCTCCTCACATTCTCTTTACCCTATTTTCCCTCCTGTCCAAGAGAAAGCTTAAGTGAACAATTAAATTAAATTCCAACTAAATGATCATTCATTGCTATAATTAAGCATATTGTCGGCGTCAAAGAAGCTTTCCTTTTATGCATATGGTTGCTGTTATGCCACCTAGACGACATATACACATACATATATATATATATGGCCAGTTTAGTTTGGTTTGGTCCGAATACATAGACCTCGAAAATCAGAGGTTTTCTTTTTCTTTTTTCCTCCCTTCTTTTCTTTCTTCCCTTTTTTCTCCTGATCCGGCGTCTTGTCCAAAATTTCATGCATCTGTCAAATATAATGCTCAGCGTGTATACGCTGTGTGTTTGTTTCCGCCATGTGAAATATGGATAAACAAAAAGAATTACTAACACTATTTCTATGTTTTTTGGGCCAAAAATTACTAACACTATTTCAGTTTATAATTAACTCGTCTGCCTCCTCATCAGTTGAAGAAACCGTAGTTTCTGGCACGCTGCCCGCAGAAAGCTGGAGAACTCTACTTTCATCCAACAACGGAGGACTCGCGCGGTCCCTTTATATTCTTCCAACGGATAAAAAATCAGGTATATATCTCCAAGTCTAAGCTTTGCAATCCATATATTGCATTCTATGCATTGCATCATCTAGCCTCTCTGGGTTGGGCAATAGATCTGCAGCATGATGCGCTGCTCGTATATAATAATATCATTTACTAGTTATTAATTATTAACACTGTGCTTTATATGATGCCTATATATATAACTCCATCAAAAATAAATAATTTAAAAGGCAACACATAAAGCTTATTCCGCGCTCACTAATGGGATCTGTGGAAAGGGACTCAATTACCCAAAGCATGCCGGAGACGAAGGCCTGCGTGTTGATGAGCTTTAACGATTCCATTTATTAGATGGGCACATATAATAGTATTGCCCAGATCTGGAAATTGGAAGTGGGCTGTGATTCATCAGTCACAAAAAGAACAGAAGAAATGCAAAACTGAATGTAGATATACGAATCAGAATAGTTGCAAGAGAGTAAAAAAGAAAGGCATGTGTTTGTGCGTGTTACACCGGAGTGCAAACAAACAGTATATGACGAACATGTACACCAATACAGTTGAGAAGCACCACCCCCGAGGCTTGACCAAACCGCGTTCCCCTCACTTGAGGATTAATTTGTACCTCAGAATTTAGATTTCTTTACTTTTCAATGGATAAGTAAGGGAACGAAGCGTGCGTGAAATAATAGGAACTGTTTAGAAAAGCATCAATGTGGAAAAAGAAGATACCAGACCTTTTTCTAGGGTTTGAGGGAGGTGGTGAGCAGATCGGAGAAAGCGAATCAGCTAGGGCAGGGATCGCTGCTCCCATTCAACAGGTGAAACTGCCGCATGATCTGTTCCCGCCACATAAGAAGGTGAGCTCAGATCATGCTGGCAGCTTCAACTGCTAGAGGGTGCACCATGAGATTATCGCACCTTATACTTACCCCTTCCTCCGTCTCCGTATTTTCCAGGCTCTTCCTCCTTCTCACTGCGAAAACGGAAGAGCGGTGGGAGCACAAAACATATATAGCCAACAAAAGGCATATATAGAAGCAGACGCAGGCAGTCCCCCACCCACCCTTCCTCCTTTTATTCTGGACCCTCTTTTTTGCTTTTTTTTTTTTTTTGGTTAAATTAGGGTAGACTTGGACCATCTCTGGTAGCTACATACAATCAATGGGGAGGAGCCAGGCAGTTTTGGGATTTTGCGTGTCATATTTTTTTGTCCTGTGTCATGTGTCAACATTAACATCTGTCCCTCTCTCCCTATTTAATTTTCTTTCGCGTTCGCGTGCCTTTGCTGTAGCATCTACTCAACCCAACCCTACTTTTACATATATGTATGGATATATAACAGAAGAGAACTGCACAAGATGGAGAGAGGGATAGGCTCAGAGGGGGCTGGGTGGGAAAAAAATGCAGTGAGAGAAAACGATCAGTCACGGGATGGACAGGCGAGAGGATGGATGGATGGGTGTGTTAGGAAGAGAGATGGAAATTAAAGTAAAACAAGGAGAGAGTGTGGAGAAGTGGTCCCGGCGATCGGGAAGAATTTAAAAACATCACGCTCACGCCACCACATGCAGCCATCCAGTGTTTGGCTACTGATGGCTTGGCTTGCATACATTTCTAACTTCTCTCTCTCCAGCTATCTCTCCTTCTAATGTCTTATTGTCTGTACGTGTTGTAGTATATGTGAAAGGTAGGCATCAACTAGCTTGGAATCGACCCAAATGGAGTATCCAACACATGTTTAAGCGCATATTTATATATACAGGGGACCAGCCCATTTTTAAATTTGCACCCTTTTTAGCTATATAGGCCTCCATCCATGTTACCGGTCACAACCACAACGGCTAAAGCCTGCTCATACTTGCAGTATTACAAGAATATGCTATGCAGTGGGTCAGCATAAATTTTCTCTGTTAGCCTTACCATCAACACTTACCTTTTCTTTTTAGGCTCTGTTCCTGTCGCTTTTTAGTTTTTACTCACTGTTTTTTTTGTGTGGCTTTTTTATTGAGCTCTGTGTCGTTTCGCCTTATCTCTAATATACAGTTTAGAGCAAGTTAATTAGCACACTACTAATAATAAAGACGTCTCCGAGTCTTCTAATTCCATGCTTCAATTTATCTACTAATATTAGCATGTATCATACACTGCCTTCGCCCTTAATTATAAGATCTCATTTATAGTCTATAAATAGGGTCTTATAATTAATGAATTGAGATAGTATTAAATCTGTCTTCTTAAATTTTATGTACCGTACAAGCAAATTAGGTATTACCTGAAATGATGTATTCTGTGTACGTGTTTTCGAATAATTTAAAAAGGAAAAAAAAGGGAACAAAGTGAATGAAGCAATTCGATGTTGAATTGATGTTTTGATGGTTTCTCTTTTGCAATAAATTAAGAACACGTAGCCAATTAAGCATGAGCCTTTTGAAGTTCAACCTAATTGAGCTTCCTCCGGACAGCTGGACCCCGCCGACTCAGTAATTATATAAAATTGAAGTTAAACTCTACTCGAACATGCTTTAGCTTGATTTGATGCGAGGCGTGGTGGACTTTTGGAGCGTAACAAGAGTTCATCTAAAATTTGAGCTCTAAAGCTAAACACAGAGGCTGTCGCGATCAATAAAAAAAAAAAACCTTACTTTTGGTCTGTTGGATTTATATAATTTTAATGAGTGAACTTAATTTGCTAATCAAAGACACTGACATGACGTACCTTGAGCATCGATATTGGAAAGACCCGCCCCCTCCCCCACGCAAAGAAAAAAAGTCATGAAAAATTAAATCTGAGAAGCTAAGTGAATGAATGTACAGAAACCATATCCAGCACAAGGACTAAGGGTGCGAGTTTTATAAATGAGGTATTTTTTTGGAGAAAAATAGGGAATAAATCATTTCAGCCGATAGGAAACAAAAACAACAGGGAGGAGTAAATCCTGTCCAGAAAATATTCACAACAAACGAGTCCTCACAGCTTCGTTGCTAGTTTGCTGTAAGTCAGGCATATGCTGAGATCCTACAATCTTGGTTTATCTTGACACTCTGTTTTCCGCAAAATCTGAACCGTTTAACTCTCTGGATATAGAATTTCAGTTATCTAATTTCTTATCCAATTTACTATTCATTCTAACAGTACTTTTTCTTATTGAATTATCAGGCAATCTTTGGGTTAATAGGCAGGTGATATCGATCCTTGCAAAGAGTCTCTAAGAACATCAATCTACATGAGATCTCATACAATTCCCATTCAAATGGGCGATAGCCCAGAGAGAAAAAGAAAGGGGTCCCCAAAAACTTTTAGTGGGAGTTTTATTTTATTAAAAAAATCAGGGTACTTTAACCGTATAGTCTATATAAATAATACTACTTTCTGTCCTGAATATAAGAGTTCGTTTGACTTTTATTTTGATTTTAAACATAAGACTCTAATTTATTTTGTTTATCATATTTATCTTTCTTTTTTTTTTTCTAAAGTAGCCCTTATATTAATAATGGTAATTCTAACTAATATGCTTGGTTAGCAAGAATATTTTAAGAAAGACAATACATATTTATTATAAATAACTAATTTAACTAATTTTTTAATGAAATTAAATTAGTAAACTAGTATTTATTTGAAAGACCGCTCATCTTCATGTAATGGGAGATGTCACCCGCCAAAATCTCCAAATTGGCTCGCCCCACAAGCTAAGTGCACGTACGCGATGCTGCCTTAATTCCTTTTTTTTTTTTTTTTTGACCAAAGCCTTAATTCCTTTAATATGCACAGAGTACACAACTTATATTAGACTGTCATTCCTCTAATTTTTCATCAGATATCAGTTCATCATTAAGACCATCAATGCTTATGTAATGAAATTTATGATCAATATTAGTTGCATTATTGTCTGCTGCAGACTTATAGCTGCGAATAATATATAGCTATATAAACTTCCTATAATGCCAAAAAAAAAAAGTGTCTGTAATTAGTTAGGACAAACATCAGGGTCACCATTATTTCCGAACTTTGGCATCCATGATGAAGCCATGTGCGATCTTCTTCATAAATCCCGGTCGTCGCATAATTCATCCGTACCCGCTTCCGTTTTAAGAGGTGTTTGGATGCTTTAAAAAATATTTCTCATAAATACTTTTTCGTAAATCGAGATAAATTCTTCTATATATTTATCTCGTAGACCATAAAATTATTTTTAAAACTATAATTTGATTTCTATTTACACAGTTTTTTAGTTTTCGTTTTCGTTCTTTCATAGGGGTCAGATACATTTGCTCACGCGCGACGCGTGCCAATACAGAGAGGAGGCAATGAATTTGGAAAGTAACTTTCCGAAGAAAATTACCCGCGTGAAGCGGCGTGAGTTCCTTAATCCTTAGCCTCGTGGCGCGTAAATGATTAGATGCAGCGCCAAGTGAGAAGACGTTTCATTGTGGACCAATCATTTGTGAGAACAGTTATTATACAAGACCTAATTAATTAATTTGATAAGATTAAAAAAAAATTAAATTAGTTATTACAATAAATATGTATTGTCTTTTATAGAATATTATTACTAATCATGTGTATTAACTAAAACTACTATTTGATGAAATATTTAACATGTGTAATTAGTACAATGTAATAACTACTTTTAAAAAAATTAAATAATTATGAAAGACAAAGTGAGTTGGGATTTTATATTTATGGTCAAATTAAAAGTAAAATTAACCCTTATATTAAAGATAGCAGATAATATAAATTAGAGATGGAGTACACTTTATTCTGGATCATATAAAGGGTTCATAAAGAGGATGGGATTTTTCACCAAGCAAACATGGTTATATTAAATTAAATTAAATCATGTAGAAAAGTCACGGTCTGGGATAATAAAGCTGAAGCCTTGAATTTTATTGTCAAGGGAGATTACTCAAATCAACGAGCCATGTCCCTGTGTTTTTGGGTATGGTAACAACATCACATCTTCTTCTTCTTGTTTTTTTTTTGGACTAGCAACAAACCATTTCTTTTTCTTTTTTTTTGGTTCAAATGGAGCATAATTTGTTCCAGATATAAACTCATGATCAGACTCTTCAGCAAAAAGAAGGGAAAAGACAAAAAAGCACTCGTGATCAGATTCGGCTAGCTAGCAAGCCTAGCCCAGTGTGTGATCCGCGATTCTCTAGTATAGGCCTCGGCACTTTTGACTAGGGGTTTTAAGGCCTACCCGTCCCAGTCAGTCCGTTGCAGTCCCAATTTTATTGGAACGGAATGAACCCATCGCGAAATTTTTTGGGATAGAACAAAAAAGGAATCGGGACAAGACATGGGACGGGGTCGTCCGTCCCGATCCCCTCCCGATTCTTTTTTTTTAATTTTTTATCCTATTTATATAATATCATTTTTTTCATATTTTTTTAAGATTTGAGATTATTGTATGGAAGTATAGATATATTTATTTAGAGCTTTTATATTTGTTGATGATTTAAGATTATTGATAATTAGACTTTTTAGCAAGTTTTTATTGTGTTAAAAATTTTTGTTTAAAGTTTTTAATGACTATTATATGTAATATTTTGGGCTTTTATTTAAGAGTGTCCAAACAAATAAAAAATAAAAAGATGTTTTTATAAAACCTAAGCCTAAAAAACTATAATTAAAAAAATCAAATTTTATTAAAAAAAATTTTTAAAAAAATATCGGGACGTCCCAGTCCTGTCCCGACCGAGATCAGGACAACACTAGGATTGACCGGGACACCGGACATATTTTCTGTTCTATTACTGTTCATCGGACGAAATCGAGACTGGCTTGTCCCAGTCCCGATTCGTCCCCTGAACAACCCTACTTTTGATTCATCTCCCAGTCTTTTATAAGTCAAGTGTTATTTAAACATCAACATTCAGTACTTACAGTGTTTCAAACAGAATTATTGTCAGTAAAAAAAAAATATGTGCCTAAATTAAAAAAAAAAAACTCAAACAGAAGGAGAACTAAAATAAAAGGGGGAAAAAAAAGACTACAGACAAAGCTAAAATCATGTATTGGCTAAAGATCATATGCAATTTTGAAAACATTTGCCCCCTTCCCTAAGAACGTCAATATAATGAATGTGCAATTTTAATTGTCATAAATGAATTTGAAATATCATTTTTTACGAGACTTGTATTATTAAATTTTTTTAAGAGACTTATTTTCATATAAAATACAAGAAATGAAGAGTTTACATTTTGCGTATTAATTATATTATCCTAATCATGCCTTTAACATGTTTAAACCCTTCAGCATGAATTAACAACCTAATATTGTAAATTTGTACCCTAGTCCGTGGGCACTGTTTCTCCCGTTGCCCTGCAAAGACCATGACCATCCCTTCTTTTTGCCCCAAAAAGGGGTTGGAAAAAAAGGATCGAAAGGAAGAAAAACAGCTGACAGCAAACTCTCACTGAACCATCCTCCCTCCAACAGCTCTGACATTTCAGCTTCGGAGCTGCGAAACCAGCATTATCGAAGAAGGAGAACATGGTGGCCCGAAAACTTCAAGTGCTTCACAATGACTCCAACTACGATGTCGAATACGATCCCGACGATGGCTTCGAAGTATGCCTGCGTTTCTCCCTAAAACAATTTCCTCTTTCTCCCTCCGCTGCTGCTCCTGTAACGCGACTTCCTTATCTTCTGCAGGTTTTCAAAATCCAGCTCTTCTCCCTCACCTCTATTCCCCCCGATGAGCAAAAGGTCTCAGTTCTTCTTCATTTATTCTGTCCTATACTTGTCCTTATGTGCGCAAGAGTTGGCGAAATTTTGTGCTTTCTTTTTTTCATCGATAATTCATTAATTCTCGGTACAGATTTATGGCTGTGAAGGTGATCGCCTCGTGGCAAGTGACTCGGATCTCAACACAATTTCCGATAAACTGCGATTGCTTTCCATCGACGAACATAAACAGCAGACAGAATCAAGCATTCAGAATGCCGAATTGATGAAATCAGACGAGGAGTTGGCCAGACTCTTGCAGGTGCTCCCCCCCCCCCAAAAAAAAAAAAAGCCTCCTTTCTGGGAGAACCTGGGGTCCTCTTTTCTGAGGTTCCGGCAATGGATGTAAATTTTGAAGTGCATATCATATTTATTTGAAATTAATTATCCTTCTCTTTTATCTATATTTCTGTTTGTGTGTACAGGAGGAGGAGGAGGCGTTGATGTTGCAGCAGTATCTTGCGAGCCAAGATAATGGACAATTTGAGAATAGAATACGGTCTTACGTTGATAAAATCCAAATGGTAATTTCACATGGCTGGTCGCTGAGAGAGATGAATACACGACATTTAAGTTCTTGAAGCTGGTTGTAAAAGTAAAAGTATTACATAGTCAATGGAATAGAATAAATTGGATTCCCTTTCCTAATGAATATTTACAACTCCAAATCTTCAATGGTTCCATCTTTTTAGTCTTCTTATATCCTGATTCCTATAGTACGAGGATTCAAGACGCCAGGAAGCTGCTCGGAAAACGGTTCCTGTGGAAGAACTTGAGGAGAAAGCGTTGGTTTCCTTGGCCAAGGTTAGTGAGTTTCTTTGTCTCTTTAAAATGGGAGGCATGACATGTGAGCGTGTTCAGGGGGAGGACTACGGGAACTTGAAGTCAATTCTTTTGATAGAGTTGCTTCTTTACTTATTATTTTAAGAATTGGGTGCCAAATTGATTGGTGGTTGAGTTTGCGATATGAAATGATGAATATAAAAGCCCATTCAAGAAACCTTTTTTGGAGACGGAGGTCTTCACTAAGGAAGTCTCGTCATGGTTTACGTGTTCGCATTTTTTTTTATAATCATTAATCGGTTTCGGCCTTGTATTCTAATGTAATGTTGGCCATCGGTACGCGGGTGATTTACAGGAACGCTGATAGTGTATATAATGGAAGACCACAAAACGGCAGGAACATTATCTGATATAACGTAACTCTTTAAGACTAGATATTGACTACCTAGCCCTAATTGGAAATGAAGATCTAAAAGTCACATACTGTTGAACTCTTCTGGAAATTGTTTCATTCTGGTTTTCTCAAGGACTTTTGGATATCGTTCGTTTTTATCTTGGTTCTGTTTGAGTATTGAGCTTGAGAGTTGAGATCTTGTTTATATTTTATGAGCACAGTGATTTAGATCAGCAGACGGAAAGGCAGAGAGGAAGGAGGAAGAGGGAGATAATTTGAGAGAGGAAGGGAAGGAGGTTGGAAAGATATACTAACAATTCAATTCAGTATGAAAAACCAGCATAGGATTACTGTTAGGGCTATTTTTATAGGGAGCCCATAACAGTAAATTAAAATAAAATAACACGCGAGAGAATAAATTACGTTTTGAAATGAATTAAAAATCTAGAATTTTCTTCACCTGGAGTAAGTCTTTCACTGTTTCGTGTACCCTAATATTCCCTTCTTATTCTCCATCGCATAGCTTGTTTAATGCTGCTATGATATATGGTGATTGGTAAATCTAACGAACATTTTTCAGGAAGGGAACTTCAGTCCATCAAAATCTGAAAAAGACCATGCTTTTCTCCTGCAGCTGCTTTTTTGGTTTAAACAATCCTTCAGGTATAGATAATTAGTCATTACGTTTGCTGTTAACTCTTAATTTAAAATAAAGCGTAAACCATACTTTACTCCTTTTGGTTTGGCTCAAAGTTAGTTTGTCCGTTGGGGTTTAAATTGTGTCATTCAACCCTTGGGCTTTCGTAACATTAGAATTTAATGACTATGTAATTCTTATATTCAAATTTTAATTGAGGTAAACTTGTGAATGTTGAAACAATGAACAAATTCGCTGTAAAATATCTGTTTCGCGAAAAGTTTTAAACTTCTGCTGGCATAAAGCAAGTTATTTCTACTTCCGAATGCTGCCTTGGTCCCAATAATAGCCTTAGAGACTATGGAATTCTTAAAATCATAAGTGATGAAACATACTCGCAATTATGGAAATTTTCATGGTTTTAGCATTCATGTGATTTTTCTGTTAAAGACTAAAAATACCATAGAGTGGTTATATGGCACACGCATAAGCCACAACGAGATTGAATGACACACTTTGAATGAGGTAACAATGTGATTTCGACCTTTGCCTTGAGTGTAAACTGCCCTAAAGTGATATGTTGATCGTTAATCTTTCCCTTGACATTGGATAGAGCAGAATTCTCATGTTCATTAAATTGTGAAACAGTTTTTCATTTAATTATAATTCATTGCTGCTGCGATGTGTTGCTCATGTGCCGGCAAATTTTCATATATGTTCTCTTCTGCAGGTCTTATTTTTATTGTTTTCCTGTACTAGTTGCATCTAATCATTCTTTTTTCTTTTTTATTTTGTGGCGGATTTATGCCCTCTTCCAATAGATGGGTTAATTCGCCAAATTGCCATGATTGTGGCAACAACACTATAGGCCAGGGCATGGCTGATGCTCTTCCTTCTGAGACTCTTTATGGGGCATTCAGGGTTGAACTTTATAGGTATGGCCATAAAATATATCACTTAAATTTTGGTGTGGGTTTTCCATTTTCCTTGTGCAATCTTCATGGCTTGCAGCTTCTTTAATTACTAAATTTAAATGTAAATGTCTGAATCATCTTGTAACATGTTGGATGAACTAATTGTGCACCTCCATTGTGATTCAGTTAATCTTCATATATATCTTCAACTTTTATTTTAGGAATCAGCTTAGTGGTTTCTATGTAATTAAGACCATCTTAGTGCTTCACGATCACCAAGCTATTTCTTGTTAAGTAGTTTTGCTTGCAATTGTGGCCATATTTTATTGCCATTCTGTGGTAACCTTTCTGATGATAAATCTTTGCATTGAGTAATTATTTTTTTAAATACTTTTGTTGCCATTTTTTTTTAACTGTCAGTATTTATCTTCATCTATTTTCGCAACACAGATGTACCATCTGCTCCAAATTCACTCGTTTCCCTCGCTACAATGATCCAATAAAGGTATTTAACTTCTGATAAAATGTTAGTTTTATAATATGTTCTTGGCTAAATAGAAAAAGCAAGGGCTAAGTGTGGTACGTGTAAATGGTTATTCTCATTCTTTGCTTTTGATTTGCAGTTAGTGGAGACGAGAGAGGGCCGTTGTGGGGAATGGGCTAACTGCTTTACACTCTACTGCCGAGCTTTTGGCTATGATTCACGACTGGTCTGTCCCCACCAATTTCCTCGCACAACATGCATTTAAAGAACAACTTTAAGTCCTGTGACCTCTGAAGAAGCTATCCTTATCTAGTTAGGGAATATGTATGTCAGTATATTTGCTGAGGAAGTTTTCCAATGCTGGTTTTGGTTTATCTCCAGGTTGTAGACTTTACGGATCATGTTTGGACAGAATGCTTCTCACAATTCCTGGGAAGGTAGGATTGACCCAAAAGCTGCTTGCTTTTATATTCTGCTAATCTGCTGCAAGAAATTTATTTCTGCTGGGGCGTTACTTATCTCTGAGGTCTTTTGATTTAACAGGTGGATGCATCTTGACCCATGCGAAGGAGTATATGACAAGCCATTATTATATGAAAAGGGGTATATTCACTTTTGTAGTGCTTTTATAATTTTTTGTTTGGGGGGTGTGTTAGTGCAGAGAAATTTTTGTCGTTCTCAGTCTTGTGTCATTTTCTCATATATGCCATAGGTGGAATAAGAAATTAAACTACTGTATTGCGGTGGCCAAAGATGGAGTTTATGATGTCACCAAACGGTATACAAGGAAGTGGCATGAGGTAGATTTTGCAACTATTCTTTTAAAAAAAAAAGAAAAAGAAAAAGAAAAACTATCTACCTTATCAATAACGATTTTGAAACATGCATAATATCTTTAAAGTGTTGGTCTATTGATTACTGTTTTTCCTTTCAATTTGAGATCGTAGGTTCTATCTCGACGTACTATTATTGCAGAGCCTGCTTTGTCATCTGTGCTCGCTAATATAACAGAAGAATGTCGAAGAGGCCTTACATCTCAACTACTTTCAATCATCAAAGCCCGTGATCAGGAGGAAAAACAACTTCTTGAGAGATGTTTACATTCTGAAGATGATGTCTCACTGTCATTACCTGGAAGGAGAAGTGGGGATGAGGAATGGCGTAAATCCAGAATGGAACTTGGTTCCAACAAGAATTCTACTCTAAGTTCTTCTTCATGCCCTGTTCGTCTGTGTGTAGACGAGCATGTGACAAGAATATACAATGCATTTTGTCCCATCCTCTTTCGATTTGTTGATGAACAACTAACAACATCTGAAGCTGTCGAAGTACTTGGGATTATGCAGGGAATAGTCTTGAATCTTCGAGATTCCCCCTTCAAAACTAGAAGGGCCTCATCTGATTCAGCTCAAAATAATCCAATATTTCAGAAGTTGTTTCCATGTTTTGATGAGCTACTCAATGCTCTTTCACTGGAAAAGAAGGTGAATACAGATGGAAGGGCTGAAATTTGCTTGGCTGGTGATCCTGTTAGAACTTCTTTGGCATTGCCTGTTGTGCTGGATGCTCTGGATGATATGATGTCCAATCTTGAAAAATGTGAAACGTTCAGTAGAGATTCCCTTGCATTGCCCATGCTGAAGTTGAACAGAATACACTCTGGTTTGGTTGTTGCAAGCGCAGAAGAGTTGCCTTTTGGGATTGTAAGTTTGTGTAGAGCCAGCTTAATTTATGTTTCTTGTTACTTGTATATTAGGCGATATTTAATTATGAATACTGTGTTTCAGGTGACATCAGCATTTGATGGAAACAGGGTGTCAAAATGGGAAGAACCAAATGGTGCTAGAGGTACGATTGACCAAATGGAATAACTTATTTAATGCGGTCGAGAATGTGACAAAAGCTTAAATCTAGTTGTGTAGAGCTTACTAGCCAATATGCTGTTATAGTTTCTAAGGATTATCTGGACCAGGTTAGCCAGGCTTTGCGCTGTGTTTCGCCCACCATTCTGCTATACTAAATACTTATCTCGCTGAATTTTATATTCTCAACTAATTCTATCCTGATGAAATAAATTTCTTATGAAATTAGATAATACCTCTACTTATTACGTACAACCAACTATATGTTGAATACAGGTTAAATGCCGGCATCAAGGTGTTATCCTACTTTATCCCCAACCTTCTCTTCCGTTTTCATGAGGTTAAAAGCTACAAATGTTACTTTCCTTATTCTGATATTAGTAAGTTAGTTTTTTGCTGATCTCGTAGGTTGTTGGATCGAGTATAGAACACTTGATAAGAAGAAGTATGAACTTGCAGCATACGAGTTGATGTCAGCCAATGATGCACCAGAAAGGGATCCAATGGATTGGTACGATCCTTAGAACATTTGATGAAATGATGTTTTACCCATCCTTTTCCTTTCTTGAATAATGGGCTCGGGGAAAACCACATGAGAAGACTGAAAAGTAAAGAAAGAGGAGTTTCTGTGTTGAGTTAGAGATGAGGAAGATTACGGAGTCAAAGCTATTATTAAACACTTGGTTAATAAATGCTACCATCTACTAACTTCGAACTATTGACAAAGAAATGCAACCTGAATAAATGATATTCTAACGAACAAAAAAGCAAAAACTGGTAATATGAGTGCAAAGGTGTAAGTAAAGGATCCTTTATGTTCCTGTACTCTTGTCTGTCTTCTTATGAATAGCTCATTTGCTTCAACGAATGAATTGTAATTGACTCCACCGAAAAAGAGCAAATAAAAATAAAAATAAATTGCAATTGATGCTTCTGCGAGGGACTCTTTTCTGTTGACCATTTTCTCTTAGAAAGTTGTGGTGAACCTTTCTTTGTTTTGTCAAGAATATTCAGGTTGTTGCTTCAGTTAAGACAACTGCTCTACATCCATGACCTTTTTCAACTTTTGTTCTCAGGATTCTTGAAGGGAGCGAAGATGATGGGATCAGCTGGCAAGTTCTGGATAAGCAAACCTCTCAGGTCTTTGAAGATCGTTTCCAGCGCAGATCATACACAATTTCCTCAGCGAGTTTGCCATCTAATGTTTTCAGGTATTAGCCTCTGCATTCCTTGGCCCTGCTGTATATTTTCGGCTACGGACTCACAGAAGATATGCATTAGCAGGCTGAAATTTCTGGCATCTAGAGATGTTCAATCAACTGCTCGGCTGCAAGTTGGTAGCATTGACTTCTATGCAAGAACAACGTAAAGTGTAAAACAATTGCCAGCTGAATTGGATGGTGTAAATTTCCTAGTTTTCTTCCCCAGGAGGGTGAAGATTCAAATTGCCTTTGTCGAAAAGGCTTGTTTCTATCATAATGAAAAAGGGGACTAGATTGACCTAAACGGGTTAAAAACCCATCATTGACTGGTGCATTATGTGTAAATTGTACAAGTGATGCATAACATTATTAATGCAGTCAGCCAAGCTCCTTTCATGTTCAGCCATAAAAGGAGACGTAATCTCAAGATTCTATACTTTATCACATGTAACCGAAAAGTAATAAATAAAACATCGTCAAATAGTCAATGATGCTCCGCTGAAAAAGGTTTTGGAAAGCGTTGGTCGTGACTAATCCGCAAGCAAATTCCCGTTCCAATTACACATTTAAATTTGGACCTCATTTGCTGGGAACCTCACAGTTACCCGTCAAATGACAAAACCTTAATATTACCAACTTTTTATGTCATAGGTGTGCAAATTGTCATAAAATCAAAGATCAACAATGTATTTTAACCAAAGAAAAAGTTGTATTCTTTCTTTGGTCAATTAAAAGACACGGATTAACCAAAACAAAATTAACAAATGACCAAAGCAAATTTACCAACTTTAGTGGGAGGATAAAACATTAAAATGCTCTCTTCAACTCTATTCAAAGAATTCTTTTAATTAAATCATATATATTAAAAATGTAGTTAGAATTAATTAATGTTTCTGATTTTATGAAAAATATCATGAAATCTCAAAATTACCGTTTATTCAGTCTTAGATTTTTATCCCAAAATTAAATATATTTTTTCAAGAAGAATATTGAAGGCTCAAGGGTATATTTTGAAAAGAATCAATAAATGCTTCGTAAATTTTTATAAAAAGTCTATTATTAAAGCCTACTGGGGATCTTATAAATATAACTGATAAAACAGAGAATCAGAGAATAAATAATAGAAGTGTAATTAGGGGCGAAAGATTCAAACATCCTCGTGGAATCTATAGAAAATAAAAGATTGTGAGATAATAGGAGGTGAAAACTGAAAAAGGAGGTGCCTTATGCACTTGGCGGCTCCACTAACCAACTAAAGGGCATAGGATTAGCAAATGAAGCGAAGAGGCAACTAAAAGGCGTAATTGGCTAAATTTTCCTGTGTTTCATAGAATCGCATCGTCTGTTGTTAGCGTTTAGTGCTGACACTGGTCTCCACACAATCGATGGCCTCCTTATCCCTCTCATCGCCTCCTTCCCTGTCTTCCTCACACCACACTGCCTCTACCCACCTTTTCCTGCGCACACCTAATTCTGTCAAACTCCGCACATGCCCCCACAGAACCGCCGTCTCCGTCAAAGCCCTCTCCGCCCCGGTCCTCACCCAAGATGACCTTAAGAAGCTCGCCGCCGACAAAGCCGTCGAGTACGTCCGCAGCGGCATGGTCCTTGGTCTCGGCACTGGCTCCACTGCCGCCTTTGTCGTCGCCAAGCTCGGCGAGCTCCTTAAGTCCGGTCAGTTGAAGGACATTGTTGGAGTCCCCACCTCCAAGCGCACCGAAGAGCAAGCCCGCTCTCTCGGCATCCCTCTCTCCGTCCTCGATGACAATCCCCATCTTGATTTGGCCATCGACGGCGCCGATGAGGTTGACCCTGACCTTAATCTGGTCAAAGGCCGCGGTGGAGCTCTATTGAGAGAGAAAATGGTGGAGGCTGCCTCCGACAAGTTTGTCGTGGTTGTTGACGACACGAAATTGGTGACCGGTCTTGGTGGAAGTGGATTAGCAATGCCGGTCGAGGTGGTTCAGTTCTGTTGGAAGTACAACTTGATCAGGCTTCAAGAGTTGTTTAAGGAAGAAGGATGTGATGCGAAATTGAGATTAGATGCGGACGGAAAACCCTATGTGACCGATAATTCGAACTACATAGTAGATTTGTACTTCAAGACTCCGATCAGGGATGGGGTGGCCGCCGGTGCTGAAATATCGGCGTTGGAAGGCGTTGTGGAGCACGGGCTGTTCTTGAATATGGCCACTTCTGTGATAATTGCTGGGAAGAGTGGAGTTGAAGAGAAGAACAAGTGATCGGTTGCGTCCTACACGTGGTGAGGACTTCATAAACTCCTCTGTAGCTTGGATTTTCATTTGTTTCTTGTTCCCTATTCACTAATGATTCGACCTTCTTGCAATCAAATCTCAGACGGGTGAAGTGCTGTAGTAGGTCCTTGTTTCAAATCTCGCCTTTTCTTTTCTTTTCTTTTCTTTTTTTGGCACCCCCGTTTTGTACCCTATTGGATGTATTCTGATGAACCCCATGAGATCAATAAATATAACGTTGTTGATGAAGTAACGCATTCTGAATCCAAAGCTTTGGGGAAGAACGGCAAATAGTAACGTGTCAAAAAAAAAAAAAAGAATAGAAAGTCGTCCTTCTGCCTCCAGTCTCTAGGATCATTTGGATTTCATCACGGTGACAACCTTCCTCTACACGAAAATGGTTTAATTTGTTGTTATTACAACGCAAGTTCCCCTTTCCGCATTTACTCCTTCACAAAGCGTTGTTATGAAGAATATATTCACTGCGTCTTTCACATGTAATAGAAAGCATGGCCTGAAAGCCCAACGAGCTGCAGCAACGCACGGTGCTTCCACGACTAACTAAAAAGAAAGCGATAAAAGACGGTTGAGAATTGGTGTGCCTGATCAAACCATATAAAAAAGAAAACACTCGTGAGGAAAACTGCCATATACATTTTGAGTTCTGAACAAACCAATGGCATGATCCTACATTTGAGACCATTTCCTTTTCTTCCTTTTTTAAATTTACGCTCCAAATCCTTGACTAGTTTAGAGCCGAAAGCGTTTTTCAGCGGAAGAGACGACAGTCACATTATATACCAGCATTTGAATCATGCTTGATAATAGCTTTAGAAGGAGATAAAGAAATTAAATACCATCTGATCATCTTTCTCTCACTCCTCCTTTAACAAGGACATGATAAAACCAGTGCAGAAATCGTTAGCATCCATCTTGAAGCTCTACTAAGAGACAGTCTTCATGATAATGGGAAAAAATCCGTTGAATTGGGAGGAACGACATCCTGGACAACCTGCGGATGAAAGATGGAAAACGGAAAGCGCGTTTGTTATATTTTTGGATCCGAACAGACCAAGGAGAAGAGAAGACAAACGGAGTATTCCTCTTGTTCTTGTCTCCTGCGCTCGCTCCTAACCCATCAATACATGTGACGGGGCGGTAAATTTTTCAGAAACAAAAGCCCCAAATTAAGCGCAGTGGTGCCAAGAGGATTTTTTTTTTTTTTGGGCTAGGCACTTGTATTTTTTTATTTAAAATAATTCTATTCAAAATACTGTTAGTCACAAAAATGTGCATACTTCTTCTAGCAAAAATTGAACGAGAGTTTATCATATTATAAGAGACTAATCTCTTTTACCAGATTCAATTTTTGTTGATATGCCAAGAGAACTTTCAAGAGGACTACAGGCGTGCAACCTTGAAGTGAAATGCTGCCATGGTTTTTTGATAAAAAAAAGGCTTGGGTTGTGTATGAAGTTGAAGGCGGTAGTGATTTGTTGAAGGGGCTGACGAGTGCTTGCCGTGATGGCCCTTGCGTTCCAGTCCCTGATTTACTCCTCATTGAACAACCCCCCCCCCCCAAAAAAAAAAACCAAAAAAAGGAAAAGAAATAGGACAGTGACAGTTGTAAATTTTCAATTGTATACCACAGCACCGTCATCGCAAGCAAGTTGGAGTAGCGTCCTGTATGAGGACAAAAAAAAAAAAGATCATTGGTTTTTTTTTTTTTGACCAGCACAAGATCATTAAATTTAGCATCATGAAACCAATTAAAAGAGATGGGGTTATTTCACGAACTCTGGTAATAAAATATGCGCCTCTTCAGCACCCGGCTGAGGCAGTGGCGGAATGGAAAGCTCCATCAAATTACATTCAAGAATGCCCACAAGGGTGGCAAGTGGCTGGTATCAGCGAAAGCTTTGCAGGCCAAAGTCCTAGTAACTGATGACTGGAAAATCACCGAATTTATAAGAAATCCTGCACCGACCTCATTGAAGACTGGAGTGTTTAATAATGCATGTCTAAGGAGACCAAAACCTAAGATATGGACCACAACCACAAGACTGGTTCCTCAACATATATAGAAGTATCTGTGTGTGTTTAATCTGAGAAATTTGTTTTGGCCTAGAATTTTGTCAGCTAGTAACCACTAACTTTCGGGGTTGCCGTTAGCGAAAGCAGGCGAGAAGAAATGAAGAAGGCGAGCAAATGGATAAGGAACCATGTAATGGGGAAAAAGGAAGAGAGGTCCTGCATAGATAACAACATTGATGAAAGTCCCAGAGTGGAGCGCAGATGGAGCTTTGGAAGGAAGCCAAGCGCCAGCATGACAGGAAACATAGCTACGCGTAGACTCTCCGCTTCATTTGATTCAAGCCACACTGCTAACCTCCATATGCCATCGTTTGTGCATACTGAGGCTCCATACAGTTTTTCAACTTCTCTACTGCCGAAGGCTCCCAGAGACGTCCAAAGCGCTGCTGCTGCCAAGATTCAGGCCGCTTTTCGCTCCTATTTGGTAAAGTTCTTTCTGCAACTTCCTCTATCACTTTTAAACTTTATGCCCACTCCACTACTTTGAACTCTGAAACTCTAATTTTGTTAGGCGAGGAAAGCATTGCATGCTTTGAAGGGCCTGGTGAAGATACAGGCACTAGTGAGAGGCCATCTTGTAAGGAAACAAACGAGTGCTACACTGCGAGGCATGCATGCCTTGATGGCTATTCAAGTCAGAGCCAGAATTCAGAGACTTCAGGCCGCACAAGAAGCTAGCCTGCTGCTTACAAAATACTCATCCCGACATCCTCGGGATAAACATCTCCTGAAAGAATCTAAAGTAAGTCTCTATCGAATGTTACCCGCATACGTACTATTTTTGCTGAAAGATATGCACTAGACGATTGCTCTAGTTATGAAACCTAAATTCATAGTATATAACTATCACGTGGTCATTTGTCTTCACAGGCCTCAAAGGATATGGACCTACAAGAAATGTTGGAAATTACGGAAAGCAGAAGCGGCCCTCTAGATCCTTCAGATAAAGAACATGTTGTCATGTCATGCTATTCAAAGCAAAAATATCAATACGAGGATAATGCTTTTACCGCAGAACAAGGAAACAACTTATCAAGGAGCCAGCGCCATTCAATGTCATGGGCAGCCAATGACCTTACCAGGACAGAATCTTCCAGGGCTAAAGCTGGGTCTTGCAGTGAACTAAAACAACGACCCTTACAAGGTACGAGTCGCAAAAGTAAGGCCATAGAGTCTATGAATGACTTGATTTTTTCATTGGATGGTCGAAGGCAGTCTGTGTCATCAAACTCCTCACGCTTTATCTACCATGGAAACCTGGATCATTGGGTTATGAACCATTACGAGTCATCTGCGGACAGCAAAAGTGAGTCCTTCAACAGCAGCATAGGCATGACGACTAATGATTCTGATTATTGAAACCACATTGCTCCCAACAAACAGCAAGAAATCCAGTTTTTAAGAGTCAAGTGGTAAGCGAATACTGATAATTAATGGTATCCGAGAAGAATGGATATGCTAAGGCGCCGATTATAATCATTATAGCCATGAATTTTAACTGAATACCGTGACTTAGCTTTCTGTTAATCTTTGGAGCTGGAGAGATTGCTCTAACAATAGTTGCTCCTTGTATTTTTTTTATGTGTCTGCGATAAGACACTGCTCGTTATCAGTCGATGGATTGAAGTCAAGACTAGAACCTTAACTTCCTTTTCTGGTCAAGATAATAAGATTTAAGATAAGTTACAGGACAGAACATGACCACAAAAACAATTGTCGGACAGGAATCGTGCGTTTTGTCAGATTGCAAACTTGGATTAACATGGTTCCGCAAAAGAACTGAATGAAGAAACCTGTTAATGATAACCTACAAAGATCAGAAGTTGTTTAAATGCTACCATGGTGTGGAAGATTAAAAAAAAACAAACGCTCCAAATTGGTCTCTGACTAAAGCGCACACAAAACACCAGATTACAGGGACTCTTCACGGTTGAGAGTGTTCTCTTTGAAGCTCTTACTTAACCAGATAGCAGTTTCTCTTGGAGAGACCTTTCCTGGCCCAAATGGTTTCAATAAAACCCCTAGTTCTTCATACCTTTCATGTTGTAGCAATCTTGCGCTAAATTCAAGCAACCCTTCCAAGGCTTCAGCCCTTTGTTGGTATGATGAAGTGTCAAACCGCCCACGGCGCATGTCTGAAGAGGCATGGCTTGATGCTCCAGCAGTTGCATTTTGATCAGAGGAGCTACTTTTATCCTTGGCATTTTCCCGAAATGTGTTTAGCTTGATTCCCTGCCATGAATCTGTCAATCGATGCTTGACAGAAGCTCTTATCTGAACCGTGCATCTATCTTTCATGATTGAACGATCACCACAAGGTGCAGAGCCTGAGGAACCCTGGGCTGAGGGTGGGGTTCTAAAGATGGGAAAAAGTGGATCCTCGTATGATGCTAGTGGGAATTCAGCTATCTTATCAATTCTAGGAGAGTTTACTGAAATGTCTGGCGACTTTATATGGCTAAGTAAACCAATACCAGGCCCATGATGAGAGTGTTGATCAGAACTTCTCGTATGTAATGGAAATGATACTCTGCGAGTTGTATGGATTGGTTGTCTGGCTTTGCGTGGAGTAGGAAGCTGCAACAATAAGGTACTTTAGAAGCCAAACAACTATACTGCTTCCACTAAATTAGGGGGTAAAAGGTAGGACGAAGAATGAAAAAGCAAAAGAGAACACAATGGTTAACTTTCAGTATGTCTTACCGACACACGCTTTTTTGTGGGCTCCACTGGTTTCTTAGAGGTGGCAGAAGCCTTTACGGAGGTATGTCTTGGAGCCTTGGTGAAAGATGTCCTTGAAACAACAGGTTTACAGACTGCCTTCAGCTCAAGGCTATCTCCAACACATAGCTCTGCCAACCCTTGATTCAAATGATCTGGAGTACACTCGATTTCTAGGGTAGAGCAAGCAGAATCTTGCTCAGCTCCAGATATGCTAGGATTAAGAGTCAGATCATTACTAAAAGAATGTCGCTTATCTCTGTATATTGAAACAGGATCATCTTCTGACTCCAGAAACCTAGTTTTCTTCATGTAGTTGGATTCTGACCAGTGAACTGGTAGTGTACTTCGCCTGGGGCTATTAAGCTTCAAATGGATCCTGTGAATGTAAGGTTGAAGATGCCGGTGTCCAAGCAGCTCCGCAGCCTGCCACCAGAAGTTCACTTCAGATGAGAATATGGTACATTGTGACAGATCAGCTGTTAGATGTGTGTGGGAAAGCAAACGGGCACCATATCTGCCCGTAACTAATTTTGAATAATTCAGCAGCAGAATTCAAACAAAAACAAGAATGTCAAGAGGCACAGGATTTAACAGCTCAACAGTGTCATTCAACCAAAAAGAATCGGACTGCACAAGAGCAATAAGAATCACAAGTGTCATGCGGGGTGTGACAGGGTGCACTGGAAATTATATATTGCAGTCAGTATGATCAAATTGTCAAATTTATGTAGGGCCAACAGGCACAGCACAATGTAGAGCAGCTTGAGGTAAGTGATGTAGAGAAGGAAGAAATTGAGTTAGCCTGCTGAAGCCAGCACCAATTTTAAAGATCATATGCAAATATACCAAAGAAAGTGATTATCCATCTCAGCTAAGCCAACCAAATTCCCCAGTGCTTACAATCATCTAGAAGAATCACAACTCGATCATCTGTAATGTATCGTCAACTCAAATTATCTCCTCCATGCAAGATGAACAAAAAGGAAATCCTCTCGTGAACACAAAGCCAACAAAATGCTGGAAAGAGATCAGGAAGCTCGCTTTTGCATGGCAAGCATAGCCATTTTTATCCTAGTATTGAAAGGACTCAAAAGGTAGTAAGGAAATTGTTAAAAAAAAAAATATCATGAGCATAGGCCTTCTGGTGTCAGATTAAATCTTGAGGTGGGAAGTATGCTTGAATTGCATTGTTGTGAATAGCACAAAAAATTATACTTCATGTCTACAACGGATCAATCACCAAGCCAACAAGCTCTGGTGCAATATAGAGCAGTGAAAAGAGTAACACATACACTAGGTCTAAGCTCAGGATTTTTCCGCAGCATGCTTTTAACAAGACTCCGACTGCAAAAAGAGAAAACAAATAGGATTAGAACCAACTAATCATGATTCACAGTAATTTTACAAGGAAACCCACTCTTAATGATGTTTAACATGCTAATGCACGCCTTTGGCACTAAAATTTTGGAAATTTTAGTTTCAATAATGTAAAACATATAGAAGCGATTTGCAACAGATAGGGCAGACAAAATAACTAGATGATGAAAAGACAAAGACGTACAATGCACCAGAATACTTTGTTGGCAGTGGAGCCACTATAGACCTGTTAATCTTGTTGATTAGTGCCTGTATATCCTGCCCAATGAAATTGAAAGATATTTTGGAACCTCCATAAAGTAAAATTGGCAGAAAAGACAGGAGGAAGAATGAATGCAGGAACTTTTAAGACTCTTTTAGAGATAATAAAGCAAGCAACTAAATGCATGTAAACAATTAATCAAGAGAAGCTAAATAGTTGATGAGTTTCCCTAAAGGGTTAAAAGGCATTTTTGCCCTTCAACTATTCTCTCAGAATCATTTGCTATTCTAAACTTTAAAATATATAAGAAACTTACAAATGCTTTAAATGCAGGCTTATGAGCTGCCATTTCATATATACAGCATCCTAGACAACAAATATAAGAAATAATAAATACATGTTTTAGACAGATAACAAAGCACATGGACTGTAAATAATAACACAAGAATACTTACCCAGGGACCAAATATCTGATTTAGAACCATAAGGAATATCAGCCAAGAGCTCAGGGCACATGTAACTAGGAGTTCCGACAACCTAAGTTACAAGACCAATAGAGAACTACTCTCATTTGTTTTCTTTTTATGATGACAACAGGCCAATATTTAGTTATAAATTGCAGCATCAATCCAAATTATATATCGCATGTTTCTTACAGAGGAAGCAAGATCATCTGAAGTCAATATTTTGGCAAGTCCAAAATCACCTGTTTCACCATCGTCCACTTGTAAGTAAATATTCTCAACCCTCAGATGACATATTTATTTAAAACAACAGAATAACTTACCAAGGCGTATGTCTTGATCTTTTGTCAAAAATATATTTGAACACTGAAAGAATCATAAGACTTTCTTACTAGCAGTCCAGCATAGGGCTAAGAAAATTTGTATGGAAACAGAAATACCATTGTTAAGTGCAAAGAGAAACCTGCTGCTAACCTTGACATCACGATGAAGAATATGGTTCAGGTGCAAGTAGTCAAGGGCCATAAGAAGTTGAACGAGCCACTTGCAAAGTTTCTGCAGATAAAGAACCGTTAGATTTTAAGTGCAAATAACAATACGTCACCTAATGTTTACTCAAAGACAAGTTCTCATGCAGAGAATTTGATAACATATCACCACATTCTAATATCTGCAAGGACAAAAGAAATAGACATACCTCCTCAGGGAAAAAATCACCATTAGCCTTTTTTATAGCTTCTGCCCTGTTTTAAATCAATAATGCATTTATTAAAAGATAATGCTACAATTTATGACAGATGCAAGTCATGTAAACTAAAGGCATTTGAGAAAGAAACTTACATATCTCCGCCCTCACAATAACCTATAATAATGCACACATAGCACCCCTAAGAGGAAGGCGCAATATTGGCAAACATAAAGCAATTACAATTAGTTTTATGTAATCGGCAATCGGAAGCAAAAGTGTCATAATAGAAGAAAATGACTAAACCATTTATAATGGCATAGGCAAGAACTTTGGTTGTGGGGTCAACATTACGGCAAGTGATAACAACAAACGAACAATACTATACTCAGGGGTAGCGTCAAATAAGGCCAAGAGTTAACCTTCCTAAACAATATTATCATGATATAATCCATCTTTTCCAATACAAGCTTCCTAGGGTAAGCTGTTCTACAAATTAACAATGGAGATCAAAGTATTACCTTTTCTACCCAGGAGTCTTTATATTCGACGATAAATGGATTTCTTAATTTAGAGATTAGCTCCATCTATACAGGACAAAAAGAACTGTCAGCAAATCCAAATTAACAGAAATTGCTAGAAGGTGCAACTGCTCTTTAGGCCTGCTACCAAATGATATTCATCTAGAGTCTAGACCTTATGCAAAACACACCACAACCTAGCATCACAAAACAAGCAAAGATCGCAAGGACAAATCAAACAGAAAATGACATGGAAATGTTCAGTTAGATCACTTGTTGATACACTATCAAGCACTAACCTCCTGGTGTGCAGATCTACGAGACCGCTCAGTTTGGCGAGCAAGGCGAATTTTCTTCAGCACATATCTATATGGTTCAAAGACAATGTTAAAAAAGCATTTCACAGATCCAGCTACAAATTTTATCGTTGAATAGTCATCATTAAGTGTGTGAAAGAAAGAAAGCATTGAAGTTTTATTCCATGCTCACTTTTTTTTCTCATGCTTATGCCGCACAAGAAGAGCAGAGCCGAAAGCACCTTTTCCAATTTGCTCCAGTATTTCATACTGCTCCATGTGATTAATAATAAAATTTACCTCCACTGTGTAAAGTCCAAATCCAGAATGTTAGAGCAAACAAAAAACATGGGAACGGTGGCGAAAAGGGGATAATTATTAAATTGTACTTGAAAGTAAAGGGGGAAAAAATTAAACAAAAGAAAACAGGGTTACTAAGAGACTTAATGGAATTCGGTGATGTGCGGGAAAGAATGAAGCCAACATTCGTAAAGGGTGAAAATGGACGAAAAGATTTTGGGAGATTCAAACAAGGGAATTGAGAAAAAATAATGTCAGAAAAAAATAGTTTAAATTATCCTGGAATGAATCTGGAATAATGGAGTGAAATTGAAGCAATAGCAAAACATCTTGCAGTACTTCAAATTATATGAACATCCTTGTTGAAGTATAAGGTCACTAAATTTTTAATCCCACTCGAGTTAGTTATTTCGCCAGTTCTCATCCATTCCTTTCCCCTTCATACATACGACAGCCAAAGAAGAGACATAAGAATTAAATTTTGTTTTCGTCAGTTTTATTCCTCCAAGTTTCTCATCCACAGTTTTCTTTCTTCCCTCAACTTGTTCCCAAACAAAAGGTAAGTCATAAGTGCTAGGCATCAAAGAAGCAGGCCTAAACCTTATGCAATATTTCCACACAACTGGAAATGCACATATGTAAATCTTCAACATTTTTCTCCATACTCAAGATAGAAGAATAAAAGTGATAGGCGATGTCGTTGTAATTATTCACGATAAAGAAATTCGCAATAGGCCTCTGTGAACAAAAATAATATTTGAATTGGAAAAAGAAAACGCAGAAACGACCTGTTGTGTAATCATGAAGCTAGTCTAAACAATCTTTTAACAATCAAGTATCCAACAAAATAAGATTATGCGCCATTCGATCCTACTTATTCGTTTACAAAAGCTGAAGAATCGAGTTTAATCATTGTCAATTTCACAAAGTACAGAATAATTTTAATGCATCATTTTGCTTGTAAAAAAGGGGACAGCGCACTCCCAAGAGGAAATAAACAGTTACTGTGGAGGATGTCGGTAGAACACCGTTCCACCGTACAACCAGAATGGGCGGGACGCCATGGAACGAGGAGCTACCAGTTAGAGGAATATTGGATGACTAAGATCGAGAAGCATAATTCGTTTCCTTCGCTACATTTTCTGGAAACAACCTCATGCCGCCAAAACGCGCAAAAGGTGCGGTAATAAGGAAAGAATCAAGTTGTCGCAAAGTCAAACACGCATGGAATGAGTAAATTCGAAGCAGAAAAAACGAGCTGCAACTTTGAAAAGTGCAGGCACAGAAAATGGAGTGAAATGAAACATCGAAGAAAGCAGAGAGAAAAGGAAAAGGACATACATAGATAGCGCAAAAGTGAGGGAAAAGCACCTTGGTATGAGGATTTAGACAGATCGGAGGAATTTAAAATGCGGCGGGGAAAGACGGATGTGAGAAAGCAGACTTGGACATGAGCAGAGGAAGAACAAAAGGACTCCGTTGTGGAGAAGGAAGGAGGAGCAGCAGCAGATAAAGTTGCAGAAGCTCTCTCGCCATTCCCGTGCAGAGTAAGAAGAAGACGACAAATGGAAGGGGGGAGATTTAGATTGCAGTTTATTAAAGCAAGCGATGCATTAGTGGGGGTGAGAGAGCGTCCGTGTGTGAGCAGTGAGGCTCACAACACATAACCCGCGCCAGACGCTCGCCGTCTCGCGCACAAGTTTTGAAACCAAGCAACTTCTCATTGCCATGCTTGATTTATTTTATTAAGCTTGCTTTGGTCAATTCACATTAGTTCAGTCGCTGTCGTATTCTCTGGGTTTTTTTTTTTTTTTTTCCCTTTTCCTTCTTTTTTCTTTCTTACTTTGATTTTACTCGTCCCCTCCCGCCCCCCTCGTTAACTCCGGAACAAAACTAGTGAAAAAACATGAGTTGTCAGTATGGATTTAAACGGCTGTCAATAAGAATCCGAATTACAAACCGGAATTCATATTTAGAGCTTAAATACTCTCTTACTTCTAGTCAAAAATACGAAATCCACAGTGAGTTAAATTATATCTGCAGCTCAATTGTCGTGAAATTTTGGCAAAAGTCGACTGTCACTGACTGCTCCTTTAAAATGTGGCTCTCTCTTTGGTCATGCGAGGCAAATCAGGCCTGGGGACGTGACTTGATGAGTTTGTGCTCATATTGGTATTTAAAAAAGGGAGAGAATAATAGAGTGATTGCCTGGCTTATCTTTGAAAACCCTGTGATGGTCAAAGCGTGGTTAAGAAATTGTTAGAGGAGACCAGGACTAATATGATAACAAGAGAATAGAAGAGACGGAGAGTTAAAAATAGGAATAAATAAACGAGAATCGATTGCGCTATCTAATAAGGGAGGCGGGGGGGGCAATGAAAAGCGTGGTGGGACACAACCGATTTTTTGGCATTGAGTCGGTGGTTCAATGCTCCAGGGGGATTCTCAAGTACATATAAAATATATTTCCGCGATTAATTGATTATTGCCCGATAAAAGAGTGGAGGGGCATCGCTGCGTTGAAAGGCGAAAGGGGAAACGCGGTTGTGGTTGTTCAATTCCATCTCATTATTACCTCCCCTTTTCAAGCCCCCCCACTCCGATCTTGACGTCCTCACGCGCACATTCATCTAAGCCGGAGGCTTCATCTGTGTGAACTTTGAAGTGATTCACAAATCTGGACTCTCGTGATGGATTGCTTTTTTCCCAACTCTCTTCCCCCCTTCTCCTCTTTTTTCCTCAGCGAATTACAATCAAGTTGTAAAGAAGTAAAATAATTATTAAGAAATCCCAATAACAACTTGGATAGCTTATGATAACAGGTTTCAAAATAAAAAATAACAACTTCTGAAACTTGTTTTATAATTATTTTAAAAAAAAATTTATTGTAATTCCCTTCTTTTCACTCGCTAAGTACTTTTAGGCCTAATACAGCCATGGAAGGAAAAACAAACTTGTTTGATGAATGATTTTAGTGAACACACTGTATTGTCCATCTCACTCACGTAAGCAAAGCAATTTGATGAGGGCATTTTTCAGCTTTTCCATATTAATTTCATAGCAGTGGCCTTTTTTTTTTTTTTTTTACATTTTCCAATCATGGAGTCCTCGCAGGCTCATATATGGATCCCGGCAGCAACGTCAGAATCCCACCTTTAACCTCACTTTACACATTACAAACTCTTTGAGACCGACGGCTCCACTCGAATAAAGAAAATCCATTTTTATTGTACTTTCCCCTCTTCAAAAAGGATCCCTCTCCGCATTTTAGAAGCGAGACCGTATGAACTCTTTCGCAGCACTCTGTTGCTTTGTCAAACCAAGTGAAAAAGACGCTTTATCAAGTAACTTAAGCAGACAAACATTTAAGTACCGTTTATTCCGAGAAACATGGCTGGACCCAAAATATCTAGTCTGTGGGGCGACAACATAAATATTATTTTAAATGGATGTGATAACGTAAGTTATTAAAATCGAATAATAAATAAACAACACAAAAGCATAACGTGAAAAATAAATTCATCTCAATGGTAGTAATATTTATATTGAAGGCCATACAATGAGCACTGACCTGTACTACGGCATTGAGAAAACCTAAATAGAACAAATGGAATTATTTATGGGGGCATGAATGAAAAATTTTATAGGTGATTAGGGCGAAGACTGATACTTTCAAGGACATTAGATGCGTTTTCCATTTTTTTGGTTGTTTTTCTTCTTCTTTTTTGTGAAGAGGGGGGGGGGGTTTGTTGGGAAGTGGGGGTGGCCCCGCAAACTAGAACGTGGGTCTCTGATATGAAGTGATGATTCACAGTGGAGGGACAGGGACGCATGAATGGAAGAAAAATGCGTTTCCAATATTCTCAGCTCAGCGGAGAGGCATGTATCTGCCTGTTGACGAGCTGGCATAAAAACAAACACACACTCACCCACAGAGATTTGAAAAAATGTGGTAACAAATTAAATAGATCTAAGTGATTATCCACTGCTTCCAACACTACCAGTTAAATCATGGCTGAAGAAAGACAGTGGAGCTAAATGATAAGACGTCTATGGTTTTGTGAATAACTGGAAGAGGATGCGGAGTGTGGCTGACGCGACTGCAGTAAACTTGTTCCAAACAGAGCGTTGGCAAATTAATAAATACCGAGGCGCCCAAATCCAACAGGCATTCTTCAATCATCACCCAACTCTATCACCTCTCGCACCAAACTCCAACAGCGATCTTCCCCCTAAAACACCCCACGTTTTTTGCACCCCCAGGACTATAACTTCACCCATCTCTACCTCGTTCCTTCTTTTTTTGTTTTTGATACAGAAGAGGGCTAAAGCCCAATTAAACAATAAGTCCGCTGGGGATCAGCTCCCAAATTCCGTCATCCTTAGAAAATCAGGGTAAGCCTCAAAGAGCGAAGTCTCAGATATTCGGGTAAGGCATCGGCAACATTACTGCACTGACGAGGAATGTATATCAGCTTTACTTCTCAGGAATAACGAAGCAAGGATCTAATCTGAGCGAACAAATTGCAACCCTTCGTTGATTCAAATAAACGCATTCCTGCTCGCATTACGGCTTTTTTGCGGGGCGAGATTTTACTCTGCGCATAGATCATGGGGACCACGGCGTTTGGATCTTGAAAAAGGCCCATATGTCATTGCGAGGATGGGCCAGCATTGATGTCGTCAATGGACGGGCCTCATATCGTTGACTTCATCTTCCGAAGTCTGAGGTGATGGGACCAGCGCATGCACGTGCAGTGGTTACAAACTTCTGAGTTCTGACACACTGATGAGTTTCCTTTTTCGCTTTTTTCCCTTTGCCACAATGTCCTGCAATGACTGGGTTGAAAGCGTATATTTTTTATTGCGTATAAATATGAGAAAATAGCATAAAAAAAGACTTTAAAAATAAAAAAATATAAATAAGGACCCATTATAATATTAGTATCAGTCTTAATAACAATTGATAAGCAAATTACAGTAATTTTATGAATGGGTTTTTGCATGAAAATTTTCAATTTTAAAGGTTTTTTTTTTGCGATTTTCCCTATAAATATTCATTATTACTTACTATTCATTTTTTACATATTCCTCCTATTTCGTTGTAACGCAGATTTTTTCAGTGTTTGTATATAAAAAATGCTCCTCCATCTCATCCTAAATAGTATAAGAATCAAATAACTAGATCAATATAATTTTTTTTTCTCTTAAGTTTGTTTTTATTTTAGTTTTAGTTCCTCAATGGGTAAAATCGTTCAGATTTTTATTGAATTTGTGTGGAATAATATTTTAAATAACAAGAAATTTTAGAGACTAAAATCTATAATTTAAAACTTGATATATCAAAACTAAAATGAAGGCAAACTTAATAGACAACAAATTATATTAACCCTGAATTATATTAACCCTGAATAATTAACATATAATTAATCAAAATGGTTATTAACTTGTATTTAGAACTAAAATCGACTCCTTAAGTGGCTCTCATAATTAAAATTGCAGGGAGTATAAGATATTTTGAGAGAAACAAAGAAGATCTCATCAATGAACTCATTTCAAAACTGCCCATGATAATAATAGTAAGACTTATATTTATCATATCAGGTTTTTCAATAAAAGATGACTGTATTTTCTATTTTTAAAATATTAACATTTAATCATGTTTAATTATAAATTTATATTAAATCAAAAAAGACACATGATATTGATCTAAGTTTTTCCCTAATAATAATACAACAATTAAGTGTGAGTTTGGGTGGGAACTGTATTAACCACAACCCTTAATATAAAAACTAATAGACTAATTAAAATAGATTAAAAAAAACTAGTTCAATTAGTTATTTGTAATAAATAAGTATTTTTTTCTTAAAACATCCTTACCAATCAAATGTATTAGCTAAAACTACTATTATTACAAAGACAAGTTTTAAAAAAATATATGAGAGACAAAATAAATTAAAGTCTTATATTTAAGATTAAAATAAAAATCAAATGAATTCTTATATAGTATATATATTTCAAAACGATTAAATTTCTGAACTATATATAAAATCTCTTTTTTTTTTTTTTTGGATCAAAACTATACACATAACCCTGAGGTGCATGTAAACGTGAGAGATAGAGAGTGGGGTGATGTGGAGGGTGGCGACTGGCGACTGGCGAGAGCAGAGCGTGGGGCCTAAAGGAGTGATTCTCCGGTTATATAATTCAGCAGAGCAGACAAAAGCGGGACCCTCCATCCTTCCATCTGCGTTGTCCCTTGCTCGCTACATGCCTCCTCTCTCCCTTCATATCATGTCTAACTAAATGCACTATTTGTCGTCCTTTGCCAAAAAAAAAAAAAAAACCAAAAGGAGAGGAAAGAAGCCGCGGATGTCGTCTCCTTAGCTCCTTCTCCTCCCACCCAGACAGTCTACCCCTCTACGTACAGCGATTGTATTGACGTGCATTCTGCCCTCTACACACACAGTGAAATGTATATATAACTGTTACACAGCAAAATATATATCCTGATTTTTTTTAATGTAATGATAATTTCTTAACAAATATTCATTAACTTACATAAAATATAAATTTCATAACAAATCATGCTATCCATAAACTCTAGCACAGGTTGCTTTTAATCCTTCAAAGTTTGAATCACGAGTAATATATATATGCAGTTCACCTAATTTTTACAAATTTAACAGTACGTACAATACAGAAGTCTTGGAAGTAAAGAAGAAGGAAGAAAGATATCAGTTAGCATGCACGCATCCGTTTTCTTGCCGGGCCCGAACAGGATTAAGAAAAATAGAAAATCTATGAGTCTCGTATCATCAAGATAATCAGTTCATTCTAGAATCACTTCACATGTCCCCCCCCAAAAAAAAAAGAACTAAATGCGTAACTGATCAACATTACTTTTAAAACGCCGAACCTTAATTAACGTACGGGAATGAGCGATAAGTTCATCTGATAACACATAATTTTTAAACGCTGCAAAGTGAAGAGATTTTTCAAAAGAAGCAAAAACAAAAAACAAAAAAAAGAACCCGTAGACATATTTATTATCAGACATAAAAGCTGAACTTCATTGGCTTCGAAAGACTGTAAGGCAGCGCAAAGTGCTCTCCATATTCCTTTCACTAGCTAGCCAATTAATTGGCTCCCACTAAAGCACGGACTGCCTAAGGAATGTTTCCGCCACATCCTCCTTTTTCCTTTTCGCGCCCCACTTCGGTTTTACGGTTCGGGTTAACGCTCATATAAAACACAACCAGTATGCTTGCAAAAGGAATTAAAGAGCCACGCCCATGATGTAACGAGAAATTATGGAGTCTAATTTGATAGCCCTTTTTTTTCCCCCCCACTTTGAGCCTAATTCCATAGCCGTCCCATAAAACTTTCCACATTTCTGTGACTTCGTTACTTGTCGACTTCTCAAGTATTTTGCCCAAAGAAAAACAAAGAAAGACTTCTCAACTAAAAAGTACATGACATAAGCATAACTTGCGCGCGCGTGTATGTGGTAGTTATAATATATAATTGAATTATATTTTCTGAAATAAAATATGCATGTAGACTAATTATAATACTATATTACAAAACCACACGATTGTAGAAAAGAAAGAATAATAGAGCTGGCCCTGTGAGGCTAATCAATTAAAAATGACTGCAAATTAATTAATAAAGCAGTAGAGAACAAGAATATTGTTGGAGGCGTTAAAGTAAAAAAAATATACCTAGTTATTAATGATTGAAGGAAAAAAAGTATACATGAGTGATGGAGATGCTAATGAGGAGGCATTTCTGAGAGAAGATGATCATTAAGCCGTTGAAGCATTTCCTTGAGAATACAAAGAAGCGAGTTGATGGAAGTAGGGACAGGTTCTAGAATCCACCGACCTTTTCTTACTCAGATGCTTCGTCTTCCTGAAGTATTTGTTTATGTTCTCCCACTTCTCTTTGCATCTCTTGGCGCTTCTCCTGTACCCCATTTCCCTCATCCCTTCCGATATCCTCTCCCACAGAGGCGTCCTGCTGCTCCCTCCCTCCCTCTCTTCGTTCGCGCTGCTTCTCAGGTTTATCAGTGCCATCACTTCCTCTCTCGGCCATCTTCTTCCCACCTCTTCTTTCTCCCTCCACCCACAATTATCCCACCCGCCTCTATGCGTCGAAGCTGTTTTTTCGGGCAATTCATTTGTCTGGGCAAGGACGGTGTTAGGGTTCCGGGTGAGTGCTGGAGCAGAGTCATTTGAAGAGGGATTAGGAACTTTGGCTGCACTATCAGGGTTTTGATCTGATGCCCCTTCGCATGTATAATTAAGAACCACGGGTGGCGGCGGCTCGGGACTGTTCTCCCCAGTATAATTACAACATGGGCTAGGGTTCTGCGAGCTCGACAGGGAAGTAGCCGCCAGAGAATTTGGATTGGGATCGTCCACCGTTTTGGCACGATGGCTCTGGTCTGAAATTTTCTTCAGCAAATCAATAATGGCGGCTTGCCTTTGGCCCGCAACAGCCTGCTCTTTCGCCATTATGTCGAGCTCCCAGTTCATCCTATCTACCTCCCGTTTCTTCCAAGCTTCATCTCGAGCGAGTATCTCTCGGTCTCTTTCAAACATGTCCTCCAGCAGCTTATTGTGCATCTGTTCCTGCTTGGCCATCATTTCGTTCACCATGTTCTCACAAAAACCCTTCAAATTCTCAAACTTATCGTGCCTCTTTCTCTTCCTGCGCTTTGATGTTCCCATCATTTTCACAGTTTCCTCGCATTGTTGAGTCAATGAGGCGTCATTTCCTGAGGCATCTTCTAATGCGTGATCAATCCTCCTGTGTTGTTCCTCAGTCGGCTTTTGCGGCGGCGGCTGCTTACTCTCTTGAGACCCAAGCTCAACGTCGACCGCAGGGATTTGATAAAGCGGCTCGAGCTCACTGATAAAGCGGCAACCGTTGTTCTTGGTGTAATGGATGTTGTTGAAGCAACTAGCTTCCTCCTCTTCGAACTTCTCCTTGCACTTCTCCGCACTCCTTTTAAATCCAAGTTCTGCAAGCTTCCTGCAGCCCACCATTACCTATTTAACCCGATAATAACCATTCAAGCATTCGTTCTATAGTTCTGCTTATTTGTGCCACGGAAGGTTATACACCAAAACTCGTGCTACACCCGCACGCACATGCACAGAAAGGTTTCTTTTTCACTCCAAAAAAAAAAAAAGCAGCAACAACAACAACAAGAAGATAATTTGTGGCCTTCCCACGATATATCGCCTACAATCTTGGCCCTCTTTTTCTGTGGGAGCGTGTGTGTCAGTGTAAGAGCACTTTGTGGTGAATTACACGTGTGCCTGTGTCTATCATATGAAGGTAAAAAAAAGTCGAAGTCTAGCCACCTCTCATTGATTTTCCACTAGGGATCGATCAGGTAGCTGGATAATGAATTGAAAGCCAGCCCAGATGCTGAGTAGAGTTAATTAATTGGCGACCGAGAAGTAGCAAGTAAGTATAAGAGACCGGAGAGTTACCTTGAAACATGTTCCCAGGTGAGTTCAGGGAAGCAAGCGTCGAGGCCAGATCTGATCCTCAAGAGAGCAAGCACTTCGTCGTCAGGCCAGGTGGAAAGAACCAGGTCTTGATCGCCCAATTGTGGTTCTCCTTCATGAATGTTTGAGTTCATGCTGCTTTGTTGCTGCTCATCGTGTTGTTCACCTTTGCGGTGCAATGGGGACAGAAGATTTGGTGGTGAGAGGGGCAAGTGATGCTGCGAAGAAGGGTTATAAGCATCGAAAGGAGGGAAGGGGAGGTGAAGAGGGAGTGAGTTTCTTGGGGCTATGAATTGGTGGAGCTGCTCTGGCACTCCATCGAACATGTTTCTTTCTAGCTATCAGTCTCTGTGCGCCTGACCTGACCTCCCTTCTCTACTCCTCCACCTCCCTGTTCTTACTCTAAAAGTCTAAATCGGCTAAACGCTGCCAGCAACATTACCAATCGAGGCCTCTCTCTCTCTCTCTTCCCTCCTCACACACACACGCACACTCTCACATGTACACACACAAACATACACATTTATCAAGGATTTGTCCTTGCTTGTAGCAGAGAAAAGAGCCCACCGCACCCTTTTAGGAGCAAGTGAGTCCACTGCCCCCAAGAGATAATAACAACGGTGCTTGTCTTATCCACTCAGGACAACACATCAACACAGTTGGCTACCATGAGGAATGGGGTTGAAGTAGACGCGCGTGGGTGTGAGTGTGGGGGAGGGAAGCAGAAAATGATTCATTGGAAAGGAAAAGGAAGAAAAATGAGCGAGTGTGAAAAGGGGCAGGAGAATGAATCCAGTAGAGATGGTGCGATGGTGTAATCAACGGCATTTGGGATGGCAGGACACGTGAACACATGCAGAGCATGGGACCGGATTATTTAAAGGATGGGAATCTTCAGACGGTACAAGGGAATACAATGCAATTTGATCGTCGCCTACTCTTCTTATCATAACATCCGCCACATTTAATTACAGTTTTAATAATTTATATTTAACATCTTCAATTAATATTTTTTAAAAAAATATAAAAATAAATTTATATTTAATTTGAATCGTTGGATTCTAATGTAAATGGCTCAAATTTAATGCTCATCTAGTATGGTAGAGCATCATCACCTCATCACACGCGTACGGTAACCCTCCCGTCGGAGTCGGATTGGAGCCATTAGGATATTTCAAGAAGCATTTCCATCATTGATGGGAGCGCTAGCTGCTGTTCTGCGTCCGCCCTCAACCATTCTGCATCCTAAGGCTGCGTTCATGATCTCAATACCAGTGTGCCCTTGTCCATTAGCATTGTCAAATTAAGAGGATATTTGGATGAAAACCAGTACATAGTTTCAGAAGTGATTTTACGATATACGAAATAAATATGTAAATGAGTTTATCTCGACTTATGAAAATATATTTTTCAAAAGCACTTCTCATGCCATTCAAACAACCCCTAAACATAGTTTCATAACAATAAATGTAGAAAAGATATGGAGGGAATATGAGACGGGATTAGTTTCGGTGCTTGTCATTTTGATGAGCATCCTAAACTCATCATATCTGAATTATTTATATCTTATTTAGATGGTTTAGATTTGATTTCTTTATTTAAAATAATTATTTAATATATAAAATCTAAAATAGGGATAATCTATTAACTATCATTCTTTTAAAAAATAATTTTTTATTTAAAAATAATTAATTAAATGTTTTAAATTTATATCGTTCAAATTAGATACAGACAATGTAGATTAAGTGAGCTTAGAGTACCCGCAATTCGTTCCATGTGCGACCAGGCCTCCGTATATTATTGGACCAACGCCATATTGAAGTAGCAAACTAGCAATATGACGGTTAGATGTGTTGAAGGGAAACAAAGACAGTTGGCCTCTGCTGGACTGAAAGAAACGGCAGGCTATGATTGTTAATGGTACAACAAACTTTAAAGTTTGAAGCAGCCTGCAGTAAGTTGTGGAAAGAGATGTTTCATAAGCTATATATTAGCTGCTCTTCTTGATTATATGGCCTCGCAAATTTCAGCCTTCCCGTACCTAGGCCTTCCGAGATATATATAGGTCATCCCCCCTGTTTCTTCATTTCATATTTCTTTAAAAATGTTATACTTGTCCTCAAACTAAAAGCAGGTCAACAAAACACGTTAAACAGTAACACTGGTTTCTTTCTTCTACAACCAAAGACGTGAGTTAAAGTCATGGTAATATTTTATTCAATTTATTGCAATGTGTATGTGCAAATCTTGCTTTGAAATTTAACTGTGCCGCCTCTCATTTAAAAATAAACAAACAAAGGATTTTCAACTGTGCTCAGCATCACTGTGGATTGGAAATCGAGTTTGCTTCCACTTGTATGTTCGCGCAAGTCCTATCATTGAGGAACATATTACTACTATCTGACTGCAAGTTTGGGACCAGCTATGCTATTGACTCTTCACAATGAATGCACACGAAAGGATAATGGGGGAGGGCGGTGCAATCCCTGAAATATTGGACCCAAAATTAGACAGTACAAGTAGACATCATAACTCAGTTCATCATATAATGTGAAACAGAAACAACCTCAGAATAAATAATATATGAAGATCTCCTGGAACCCTGTAACTAACAGCATTAACATATGCGAGACATTCAAATTGAGTACTCACAGAAGTTGAAGAGTCTTCAGCAGATCTCTTATTATATGGCCATAGTCGCCTAACAAGAAGAAGGTGCATATGGATTGATTCGTCTTGCAATAACTCCACTTCATTGCCAGGCGTCTCATCACTAGCAATCTCAAGCCTGGCACCATCTTTAGAACTTTAGGGTTGTCTCAGGGTTTTCTTCCTTTTCCCCACCGGGGGCGTTCACTGGCTTGAAATCGTCCTCCCCATTTTGTCCAGGCCTGTCTCTGCCAAAGGTTTGCTACCATCAGTGTATGTAAGTAAATCCCTGCAGATCGCAGACTAGTCTAGAAAAACAGTGGGTAAAAAGAAAATATGATCGAGGTCAGATTATATATGTACGACTATTCAAAATTTATTGAATATGCGAGGGGAAAACAAAGCCAAGAGACGAGATATAAAGTTAAACAAAAATGAAGGAGAATAAGTCATTTTAACAAAGTCAATAAGATGAGAAAAATATAAAGAACTTACAAGAGCTCTGAATACAGGGTTATAAGCTGTCATTTCATGGATAGAGCATCCTAAATCCTAAACAATATATATATATATATATATATAATATATATATAAGAAATAATAAGTACATGTTTAGCCAGAAAGCAAAGCACTTATCATGGACTGAAAATCATAACACAATAATACTTTCCCGAGGACCAAATTAAATGTCCAATTTAGAGCCTTGTTTAGCCAGAAAGCAAAGCACTTAGGGTGTGTTTGGTATGAGGGATTTGGGAGGGAGGGGAGGGAAGGGGAGGGATTTTAATCATTTTCCCTTGTTTGGCAACACACAAATTTTAGGAGGGGAGGGAAAATTTTTTAAAATTTCCCCTCCCCTCCCCTCCCTAACCTCCCCTCCAAAATTGGGAGGATTTGGAGGGAAAGGGCAATATTTTGTCATATTATGACCATTATGCCCATATTTTGTCATGTTGTAACCATTATGTCTATATTTTGTCATGTTGTGACCATTATGCCCACACCTTAAATAAAATAAGAGCAAAATTATCCATATTAAAATGTTTTTCCCTCCCCTCCCCTCTTTTTTTATAAATCCAAACAAGATAATATTAAAATCCTTCCACTCCCCTCCCCTCCCCTTCCTTCCATTAAAATCCCTCCCCTCCCCTTCCTCTCATTGAGCCAAACATACCCTTAAGGAATAATATCATCCTACAACGCGGTGCACGTGTAACTAGAGAGCTCCGACGACCAGAGTTACAAGACCAATAGACAACTACTCTTGTCTGTTTTTCTTTTTCTGATGACAAGAGTCAAGAGGCCAATATTTAGTTATGAATTGGAACATCAATCCCAATTATAGATGGCATGTTCCTTACAGAGGAGGCAATATCATCTGAATTCTGAAGTCAATATTTTGACAAGTCCAAAATCACCATCGAACACTTGTACGAGTAAATATCGACCCTCAAATGACACATGCAATGAAAACAACAGAACAACTTACCAGGGCGCATGCCTCGATCCTTTGCCAAAAATACATCTGAACACTGAAGGAATCACGCAATTTTGTTACCGCCTTGGGGTTAATAAAATTTATATGGAGACAGATATATCATTGCGAAGCGCAGGGAGAAAGCTGCGGCTAATCTTGATGCGGGACGGTGAAGGATATGGTTCAGATGCGTATGTAGGCCTAAAAAGTTGAACGAGAGAAAAAGTTTCTGCAGATAAAGGGCCCTTAGATTTGAAGAGCAGATAACAAAATGTCACATAATGTACTCAGAGACAAATTCTCATGTAGAGAATTTGATCACACGCAACATTCAAACGTCTGCTAGGACAAGAGAAATAGATATACCCCCTCAGGGGGAAATAAACACCGTTAACAAATCCTATAATCGTGGGCATCGATGATGAGGGCGCAGCGCATCGGTGTTTGGGTTTTGAAAAGGCCCATAGGTCATTGCTAGGCTGGGTTACGATTGATGTAGTCAATGGATAGGCCTCATATCGTTGACTTCGGCTTCAGAAGATGGGACCTGCTCATGCACGTGAAGAGTTATAAACTTGTGATATGCTGATGAATTTCACTGGTTTTTTTTTTTTTTTGCCACAATGTCCTTTAATTTATTGATTTGATTAGAAACGGATTCTTTATTGCATATAGATATTTCCTATCCATTATATCATTAATTGTTAATATTAGCTGATAATAAGAGCATTTCCCTTGTTATTTTTTGATCTAACGAAGAATAAGATGTTCTTTGAATAATGATTATTAACTATTTGCTTTTTTTAATATATTTCGCTTCATATATAAGAAAGTTTTGAAGTGTTACGTGTTTTATAATATTAGATGTTTTTGAGAAAAATAAATACGAATAAGTGTGTTTGCTTGTGCGTGTGGGGGGATATGATGTACAATTAGTTTCAGTACTTATCAGGCCCTAAGTTCACCATCATATCTGAACCATTCAGATCTAATTTGAATGATTCAGATTTAATTTTTATGTTTTAAAATGATTAATTTAATGAGTATAAAATCTAAAATAAAATTTATCTTTTAACTATCATTATTTTAAATATGATTTTTTTAAAATAAAAAATTAAAGGAAAAATAACATAAAAAGAAGTTAAAAGTTGTAATATTTTAATTCAAGCATCTAAGAGGTCAAAATCCTAAGAGAAAAAGTAATGCCTGGTCTAATTTGACTATATTTGCAAAATACTTGATTAGACACTACTTTCTCTTCTAAAATTTTAACCCAAGTATTCGAATTGAAATATTATAATTTTTTTATTTTTTCATGTCATTTTTTCAAAATTAAATGTAGATCATGGATCTGATCATCCGAATGGTCTAGAGCCCAGAACTCGCTCCATGCTAGGATTTTTTTTTTTTTGGGGGGGCGCTGGTTGGCT